GTGAATAGTTTAAAGTTTGAAGTTTGAACAAATTTTTTATTCCCGTTTTGTCCCGGTCTCGATTGATATCGATCCGTTTGGGACGGAGTCTCGTCTCAGACCGGTCTCGAGCCGGTTTAAAAAACCGGGTCAGATATCAGAATAGGTCAAATCTCGGATCGTCCCGAACCATGCCCACCCCTAACAGTTAATTTGACCGGCTGACCGTGGATTTTTTTTTTTTTTTTGAAAAAAAATGTGAGGGATAAAATTGTCAAGAGGACGGCGGTACATAAGTATAAAGACGACGGTGAATACTAATACCCAAATATGGCAAGTGAGACGGAAAAGAAGGTTTTTAGGCTTTAGTGGGAGAAAAAACGAAATTCAATAAAACCTGGGGTTAGATTGCAGTGACCCAACGGTGGGATTAAAGCAATTTGAAAATATTCAAATTTTGCATAGTTAGGGTTTTGGTTCAATTGGGAGGTTCGAGTAGATTTTGATGATTCCGACAAGAATTCTTTGTTATTTCATGCTTAATACCCTGAATTCTTCACGGAGTTTGTAGTTTGTACATCACCCCAAATTCTCCTCTTTTGGGCTCTCAATCCGCGTATGCATTTCAAATTTCAGGGTGAGTTTTCTTCTCAAGCGTCATCTCCACATCTCAAGATCTCACAATTTCCCGTCGATTGATTAAAGCACATATCTTCATGCTCGGTAAACATGGAGGCTCTTCTTGCGGATTCTGTACGGAACAGCTTACAACACCTAATGTATCGAAATGCCATTTTCATGTGCGAGCGCCTATGTGCTGAGTTTCCTTCTGAGGTTTGCAATATTATTATTCCGTATTGGAGTTCACCAATTGAGCTAATTGCAGTTGTAAAATGATAGAATCTTGAATTTAAGCCAGTTTCTGCTGAAATATCCTCTGCCTTGTCGTTGGTGCATTAAACTTCTCCGTTTTTGTTGCCAGCAGTTCAGGTTTCAGCTGAATACTTGAAAATTGCGGATGTGGTGCTTGAATTGCCTGCCAAACTATTGTAAATGTCACTTTATATATTGTGATTATGAAATGAGGTGTTTGTTTTTTATTCCTGACCTTCTCTATATAGAGAGAGTGAGGACGAATTTGTTCTCAAGTTGTACATCTGTATTCTAGGCTATTTTTCTGTAACACAGAGTGAGAGTAGTGTAGGAGAAACATGTGGATTTGGAGTATACGGACTGATTCTTTTTAATTTTTTAATTCTTTATAATAAAAGTAAGGAAATTAAAGCTCAGGATTTGACTTGATTGAGGTTGATGTTAAAAGTGGAATTCTGATATGGCATCATGGACGTGGCTGTTGAAATTTCACTGTTTGTTTGAATGAGAAATATGTTCTGGTTCTTGTGTGATGATGTTCGCTGCATGGAGTACAGTGTTGATGCATTAAAAGTCACACTTGCACTTCCAATATATGCCTGTTCTTTTATGCTTTCAGACTCATGCTTTTTAGTGACTTATAAGAATTACATTTAAGTTATAGTCTTGAACTAAATTTGGTTTCAGCGGCTTTGTTTCCTTTGGGTTGATTGTGTTGGTTGCAGAAAAATTTGTACCTGCTTGCTAGCTGTTACCTACAAAACAATCAGGCACACTGTGCTTACCATATCTTAAAGGGTATGATACTTATTTGACCAGTTACTCATTTGTGGGGTTTTATTATTAAATCTTGCATTTCGTGGAAAGGGATCTTCATGCTGTCTTTGGTTTTAAGGAACACAAATGGCACAATGCCGCTACTTGTTTGCACTGTCGTGCTTTCAGATGGATCTAATGAATGAAGCAGAAGCTGCACTATCTCCTAATGAGTCTTCTGCGGAGGTATGCTCATGAAAAATGTTCTAAGAAGTGTGTCTAGATAATTATACTCAGTAATAACACCTGTTGCCCTCCATTATTTGGATTTGAGTTTGTAACTTGTTATGAAGATTGTAGCATTCTATTTGGGTAGAGATGTTCTTAGTTAAAAGAACATTCTTAGTTAAAATGATTATTCACATAGATGGAGTGACCAGACCAGATGATCATTCTTTGTTACAGGTTCCAAATGGAGCTGCTGGGCATTACCTTCTTGGACTTGTATACAGGTTTTAACATGTGCTCTTCTTCATCTACATGGGGGGTTTTGTCCAAAAAAACTCAATTACATTAATCAAATCTTTCTTTTATGGGTGTGTTTGGAGTGACTATGTACTTTTGAATATTATTATATGGCATTTGAGTATGTGAAACAATTTTTTTCTGACCCTAAATTCGTGGCACGATCATGAATCATGTGTAGTTGCTTTTTAATTATCCGAATCCTAAATGATATTATCTTGAATAACTAGTTTAAGAGATTTTGGTACTATCAAAGTATAGACCTTATAATCTGAAACCTCATTGGACTCTGACACCTAATAGGTCCAATTTTAGTAAATCTGACAACTCTGCACCATATGTTTTGGAAACTATTCTGATGTAATAATTGCATTAATCTTATTTTCAGAGAATTGGAATGGGAATTTTAAGATAATTCCCTCTTCGGGAATGGGAGAACTTGAAGAAAGCTTTTAACCACAATTGATTGTACATGAGATTGATAAATGATTGTGTCCTCATTTTATCATGAGATTAGCATCTTTATGATTTTTTGACTTTAAAGCTGCGCCGCATCTCCTCAATCCTATAGAAATATGTTGCCCACAAATGTGGTCCGTCGCATATGCAGATCCTGAAACTTTTCTTATTCATCAAATTGGAAAACTCATATCCAATTCCAACTAAGCAGGAGAAAAGGAGAAAGACTCTTTTGATAAATTTCTGGCGCGATGGCATCTTAAAAGAGAAACATTGATAAACATTTCCAAACATGAAAAGAAAAGGCGAAATGTGGACATATATCAGATTCATCATTGCTGAAAATTGTTAAAATAGATTTGGTTGGTTCATTAAAAATCTTCTGAAATTTCCAATATAATGGAGATCAATGATAGTTTGTGCTGGAGAGTGCACAAATTATGTGATGAGTGTAGTGGCAGGCAGGACGAAATGAAAACTACTGTTTTCTTCAAGATGTTAACTTATTGCCATATGTAATATTTGTTTCAGGTATACAGATAGAAGGCAGAGTGCTATCAATCACTTCAATCAGGCCTTATCATTGGATCCATTATTATGGGTTGCTTATGAAGAACTTTGTATATTAGGTATGAATGAACAAAATCAATTCGACCTCTAACTATTGGACTGGAGATGTGTGCAATTGTCTTATAACTTAACCACTGCATGTCAGGTGCATATTTTTGCTCATATGTTTTTGCATCTCGTTTCTCTGGGTCCTCTTAGTAAACCCAAGGATCCTTAGTAACAATTTCATGCTATGAGTGCTCATGTCTTAATTGTGTCTAGTGCTTAATTATCACAATTTTGCTCTGAGATTTTATTTGATCAATGTAGTTTTAATTTAATTATACTGCTGACAGATAGCCTCTGTATTCTTTATGTTATTAACCAGATACTTTGCATTGTTTTAGGTGCGGCTGATGAAGCAACTTCGGTCTTTGATCAAGGAGCTTCTCTGTGCATACAGAAACAATACCTAAATCGTGGATTGGCCTCCCAGAGTTTGCAGGCACCAAATGAGGAGCATGAAATTGCTTCAAACAGAATCTTAAGCTCAGAAGATATTAGCCCAAGAAAGTTAAAGAACCTTCATAACCATAGCCTACGAGATATTTCTGTGAACAATCATGGAACAATTTCTAATCAGCCTCTAAATGGTGGTTCTGCAAGTTTCCCATATTATAATACTCCTTCTCCTATGGCTACACATTCACAGGTATAATCGTGTGCAGCATGTCCGTGTATTCCTTTTCTAGCCTTTTTTTTTCTAACTATTGCATATTTGCAGTTCTCAGGTGTGGCTCCACCACCTATATGCAGAAATGTACAACCAAATGGTCCAGCCATGAAAGCATATGCTTCTGATAACTCTCCACGAGTGGCTGTCAACTCTGTTGCAGGCCCTAGAAGAAAAATTGTTGATGAGGGAAAATTAAGAAAGGTTAAAACAATTTAATGCTTCTTTGTGTATGTCTGCCTTGCCCCAATCATCACTTAACATATAATTTTTTTTCCCTTTCAATATCTTTACCTGCATGGATTCAGATCTTCTTTTTACTTTCTTTTCTATTCCTACAATCGTTTTTCGTTCTTTGATTTTGCATAACGTCATTACTAACATATGAGTTTTGCAGACAGCACATCCATGTCACGTGTCCTATAGTTTTCATTTTTAACTTAAGCTCTTATGTTTCAGTGTAATTATAGAATTGGAACTCCTATTACGTAACTTCTAGAAGATACAATTTATGGAGTGCTTATAGTTCTTGTCACAGATTGTACAAGCACTTGCTTAACTGCTTGTTATGATTATATAAATTATTGAATCCATGGTGGCAAGACTTTCCATTTCTTCTTTTGCACTTTTAAAGGAAATTCTTGAAGTTCCCATATTCGACATAATTCTGTTAGTAATCTGATTTAGTGTTGGCAATTGTTTATTTAACCTATTCTTTTGCTTTAGATTTACGAAGTTAAACCCTTAACAACATAGGCATGCTTCTTTCTTCTCTTTTCAATTTTTTTTTTTTTTCCTTTTTGTTACTGAGGATTGCTAATCCTTATGTGTTTAGGTATCGGAGAGGCTCTTTTCTGATTCTGGCCAGCGAAGAAGCATGAGACTTGCTGGGGAATCTGCCAGCACCAACTCAAGTTCATCTGTTGCTTCTGGAAATGGAGTAAGCCATTCTACCAAGTATGTTGGAGCTTCGAAGTTGAGCTCCATGGTTTCACGGTCTGTGACAATTCGAAAGGGTCAATCCTGGGCAAGCGAGAATTCTGATGAAGGTAACTAATCTTGCATAACATTGTTACTCTATTATAGTTTTAGCCTGACTTCTGTATGGAGTATTTGTCAAAAACGGATGCTGCCAGTTCGTTGGTGTTTTTGTTCATACCTAACCAATTAAAGAACTTCTCTCTTATAGGGACTCATCATGACGTGTATGATGATTCTAGATTGCTTACCACTACTACAAGCTCATCTCCCTCTAGAGATAATAGGTCTATTGCACCAGAAGGAGAAACCAGGTCTTCAGGTGCAGCTGTTTTGAGCAGCTCAAGAATCATAGATGGTGCTTCTGATATATTGAGTCTTTTAAGGCTTCTAGGGGAAGGCCTCAGACTTTCCTGCCTGTGCAGATGCCAGGTAGTTCACATCTTGAAGAAATGGAGCCTGGCATTGTTTTTTTCACCATGTAAATGATTTTTATGCTTGTGCTGGACACAGGATGCATTGAATGTCTACATGAAACTTCCCCAAAAACATTATAATACTGGATGGGTGCTTTCTCAGGTAAGCTGTTCAGTTTTCATTTCCTCTTACTATTTAGGAGATAGACCATTGTACTATTTGGCTCAACTTGTTTAACTTTCCTGACTATTTTGCCCATGTAGCAATGGATGACAGACCAGTTTACCATGCAGGTCTTGCATACACTTGATTTATAAGGCATCCTTCACATATATAATCCAATTGCAAAAGCGCTAAACAATACTATTTTCGTCTTTCTTTTTTGAGATATTTATTTGGATTTCATTCTCATGTTACATGATATTTTGAATCTAATTTCTGGAAGAGACTAGGCTTTGCTAATGACAAATGAAATAATATTCAAGAGGAGTATTATGAACTGTGAATTCAAATCATTTTGAAACTTTGCTTTCTCTATCATTTTTGGTGACTCATGCACCAACCTGAAGTGCATGAACTTGAAAACCTTTTGAAACATAGTTTTCTCTGTACTTTGGTGGTAATAATGAAACCAAAACTCTGAGTCCTCTTCCTACACAGATTTGATACTAGTCCTCTGACTAGTATCAATCCTCATTTGCAGATTTTCGAAAATTAGTTAATATAGTTCTGGAATAGGTAATGTACTTAAACAATTAATATCTTGTAGAAAATCTTTTGCTTGTATGAATATGTCTGATTTGGTGCTCTTACTTTGTAACTGACCATGTGGCATCATATGAATTCATTGAAAGACAGGTAGGAAAAGCATATTTTGAAATGGTTGATTATCTTGAAGCTGACCGTGCCTTCAGTCTTGCACGTATTGCCTCTCCGTACAGTTTGGAGGGGATGGACATATACTCTACAGTTTTATATGTAAGTTGACACATTTTTTCATAGGTCATTCATTAGTTTCAATGTCATTTCCTTCTTATCTTGTAAAGTCTAAAAGAAACTGCCTGTATAAATTTGTGATGATCTCCTATCTAGTAATTGAATGCATTTGTCATACAATTGTACACGTGTTCATATCAGTTTCGTATATTTCTTTGTTGCTATAAGCATATAATTTGGTAGCTGTGGTGATGATGGATATTATTAGCTGGATAACTTACTCCTATTTAAAACTGATGCCATACTCTAGTTTTAATGGTCTTAATTGTCCTTCCTGCTAGATAAGCATGCATCATGTTATTTTCGATTGCTATGCTCCAACAGAAATGTGGAAGCAGAGGTTCAAGCATCTGCATTAATTTGTGTAGCTTTTCACCAATAAGTCACATACTGTTCATTTGGAATGATGCTTTCTTGTCTCTACAGTAGTTCAGTTCTATCTGAAATTTTTTAGATGGCTGACTGTAGCGATATTTGGTTTCTCCTAGTTAATTTATTCATATTTCATGATTCTTTCAGAGGTTAGATTGCAATACTTTTTCTCTGTAATCCATGTCATTCATATTTTACTGACAACTCTAGTTGTTTCCATCTATAGCATTTGAAGGAAGATATGAAGTTGAGTTACCTTGCTCAGGAGCTGGTATCCACCGACCGCTTAGCTTCTCAATCTTGGTACTTTCAACCCAGCTTTGTTTCCAAAGTGCAGTGTTAAGATATATGATATTAATTTTTTGGCTTTATTTATTTATATTTTAATATTTATATTCATACGGCATGTACTGGGTTTGTCCGCTTGATGTCTTTGCTTGCTGTGTTCTGCTTCTGTGTTCTTAGACATGGTGCTTGGTGTTTAATCAATTGAACATTCCCCACCTTTGTTAGTTAGCCTTCTGTAGTACGCATTAGAATTATATGGTTACTTATTACTTATTTATATATTTATTTATTTTTAATGTCCTGGACAGGTGCGCAATGGGGAACTGCTATAGCTTACAGAAAGACCATGAAACTGCTCTTAAAAATTTTCAGCGATCTGTGCAATTAAATTCAAGATTTGCTTATGCGCACACCTTGTGTGGTCATGAGTATGATTCTCACAATTTGTCCTCTTTTTTAGATAACACACACTACTGATTTTCTTTCTTTTGAATTCAGAACTTTTATATTGCTTTATTCACAGATACGTGGCCTTGGAGGATTTTGAAAATGGTGTTAAGAGCTACCAGAATGCTCTTCGTGTTGACTCGAGGCACTATAATGCCTGGTATGGTCTGGGAATGATATATCTCAGACAAGAGAAGTATGAGTTCTCAGAGCACCATTTCCGAATGGCTTTCAAAATTAACCCGCATTCATCTGTTATAATGTCATATCTTGGGACTGCTTTGCATGCGCTGAAGGTCAGATTTAAATTGTATATAAAGAAAAATCTGACCTTTCCTATGTTTGAGTTCATTCTAACAGACTTTGTATTTTAAAAATTTGACAGAGAAATAATGAAGCACTCGAGATGATGGGAAAAGCTGTTTTGGCTGATAAGAAGAACCCACTCCCTCTGTATCAGAAGGCGAATATCCTCGTGAGCATGAATAATTTTGATGGGGCTTTAGCAGTTCTTGAGGAGCTTAAAGAGTATGCCCCTGGAGAGAGCAGTGTTTACGCATTAATGGGAAGCATTTACAAGCGGCGGAATATGTATGATAAAGCAATGCTTCATTTTGGAATTGCATTGGATCTGAAACCTTCTGCAACTGATGTTGCTGCTATCAAGGTAACAATGAGAAATATTCTTTTATGGCCCAATGCTTTATTTTAATTATTGGTTTGTAAAATTTTGGCTATTTTCCTATATTGATTCTTGAGGTTACCGTCAATAAATTTACTTGCTATCTTTTACAGGCTGCCATCGAGAAGTTGCACGTACCAGATGAGATAGAGGGCGATAGTGAATCAGCAGATTGAAATTTGCGTGACACTATGAAAGGTTAAATTTATTCGGCAGGTTGTGACCACGCACAATTTTCCTGCTAGTGCTTTCGGCCAGGATGCTGGGAAAAAAAAACTATTTGCATTCTAGCCAACAGGATCCTCTGATATCTGCTCTCGTTTGGCTGGATCTTCTCAATTTATGGAAAAATGTGCAGAGTGGATCAATTTAGTGAAATTTTGTTTATGGATGTGCCAATGAACAAGAAACAGCCAAAAGTTATATATATACCTTGTGATTGTACTTCATATGAATCCATGTATTTTAGGCACATAAAGAGAACAACAGTTACTGCGTGTTTCCTTATTCGTAAATCATACCTTTTGAGCAATAATTCAAAATCACGTTCCGAATACTAAGTTGTTTTCTAGAGTATAAAGTTTGAATTTAAAAACATGCATATATATAAGCCCCCAAAAACGTTTCATCGTTCACTTAAATGTATATCAAAATTCAAAACCATCATACAAACAAATAGAAAAGAAGAAATTAAAGACAAAAAGCATCACATTCTCAAGAACCCACTCTCCTACACATTCTCGATTCCCAAGCCATACAACACGCCCGCGTACTTCTCCAGCGACCCACTAAAGAAATTCTCCTTCAACTTCATAAAGGTACAACACGTCAGCAGGCTATCCGAACCCGCCTGATGGCAAACCCCAACTCTCTCCACCTCCAAAAGCTCCGCCAGCTTGTTCAGCCCACCGTGCAAGCTATTGCAGAACTTCATCAAGTGCTTTATATCATAAACCACCGGAAAATACACGCTGATGAGGTTAAAGAACTCGTCCTGCCCATCAGGCAAATCCTGACACGTCAGCAGCTTTATCAAATACCCGAAATCATACCCACTGTGGAAAGTCACCCAACACACGCTGTCATTCAAAACAATCCCGGACGACATCAAAAGCTCCCCGAAATGCCGAGCATCGATTCCCTTCTCGTTGTTTTTTTTCAGATCGATGCCACTCTGGCTGAGGAGCTCGATTGAGTCGTTTGCAAAGACATCCTCGTTAGGGTTGAATTCGCGGAAGTTGAACTGCCAGATGCAGTGTTTGGTGGTGGTGCCGCAAGTCGGGAGATTGCCTTTCTCGTCGGAAAACGTGAGGCCCAGTTGGATGAGTTTGAGGAGATTCACGTTTTCCTTTAGGGTTTGGTAATGGTAGTCGTTGGCGGTTTTGAAATTGCCGACCGGTCGGAGGACAATGCCGGGAAATTCGGTGTCCATGGCGATGTAAGGGTATTCGTCCACGATTCCTCGGATCAAGTCGAGCTCTTCGTCTAGATTGTCGGCCCAGACCTCGCGGATTTGAATCGAGTCGCTTTTGGGGAGGAGAGACATCTCACGAAGATGATGAGAGCAGATCAAAATTCGGCCAACGAAAATCCAATCAATTGGAAAAGTTGCTGTCTTTTTATATAATATCAAGCCTGCAGAGAAAAAAACATAAAGAAATGGCAGCTCAACGTAAACCCTCGTGGATAAAACGAAGAATTCAGAGTAACGAAGAACCATAAAAAAAGGTTCAATCAAGACAGAAATCTGAGACTCACCACGTAGATCAGCGGGAAAATGGATGGAAAAATTGGATTTTGGTCAATTGTTTAGGTAGTTTGATAAAAAATCAACAACAGGGATGAAGGTATTGAGGATTGGAAGTGAAGGAAATGGTAACGAGCGTCGTGGTCAGGACAAAATGATGAAGACGGTGGATAAGAGCTACATGGATATGANATTGGGGAAAGATGATAAAAGGAGAAAGGCAAGCCCAAAAGGCTGGGAACCCTTTTTCTTTGATTACTCACCTCACCAAGAAAAGGATAACATTATGAGGGGGCTTTCTATATATATATATAGGTAGATTCTAAATGACAAAAATTATTCCCCACTGCGTTATGGCTTGTCTATTTAGCTGTTCGTCTAACGGTTGTTTTATCTATAAAATCCTAATTTGATAAATTTTTATAAATCACCAAAAAAAATTGAAACCAATTATATGCGAGTCTCCTTGCAGTGGGAAATATGGCAGCAATTTAAACAGTCAACCCACCATCAATTGCAATAAATTTTGATATAAATGGTGTTCGCAGCATTTAATAATGTTTGAAACTGTATACATGCTTAAATCGTGTAGAACATATCTATGGTCCAATTGTAAAATAATTAAAGTTAAAAAATAGTAGCTTTTAGTCGAGTACGGAAAAGATCATAACCTTAGATCCGCTCGAGAAGCATCGCTCGGAATTGTATTTAAGCAACGACTAATCACAATGAACAAAAAATAAAATCTGAAATACTATAATCGCACATGGATTGGTTGAATTAAGCTAAAACGAGCGCATCAAATTTATTGAAAGTAAAGGAATCACTAAAATGCAATAAAAGAAGAATAAAAAGAAAACGTAGTGCCCGAAGATTGAATTTTAAATACCAAGTCAAGAATCAATTAACCAATCATACTAAGTTATGCTAACGCGTCAAGCAATACAACAGGTAACCGATATAATAACTCAATTAGTATTATCCTCGTGCACAAGTTCGGGTCTAAAGATTTATATTTTAAAGATTTGCAGGCTTAAATAGTCGAGTTTTAGATCGAAACCTCCACTTTTATACAATTTCAAACATTCAGTTTAGAGCGTCAATCAATCCTAGCCTAGAAAACAACCACAAAATCACGTATGCCCAAGGATGGTAGCCTACTCTACTCGTGAAAGCTTAAATCTTTACTAAACTGGTCGACATACCTGGTCTGAGTCATAAAAAAAATGTTGAATTGATGTTGTACACCATGCAACTATTATTGAGTTGAGACTGTTGAGTGTGGGAGGAGTAAATTCTTAGAAATGTGGGAGACAATAATGGCACGCGTCTGGACTATAGGATTTGGTGGAATTTGTTTTTCAGTAGTTTTAGCATGATGAAGTGTATAAAGTTAAAAAATCACAAAATATAGGGAAACTTTAAGAGTTTTTGCGTTGATAATACTGTAAAGACTTCACCAATATGACCATCTCTGTCAAGACCAATTAGTCATGGGAAATGCGGATTGAAGCGGTTTTGGTTGCGGGCCTTGCACCATCGGCGGGGCCGTAATCGTGGCTAACAAATGCATGTTTTTGAATAGATTAGAGAGTTAATCTCATGTAGTTCGTCTTAACAAATAAGCCCTTAGGGTATGTTTGATTCAACGGAGGTCAGAAGAGAGGAGGGATTGTAATAGAAGGAAATGAAGGGGAGGGGAGATGATGCAAAATATTTTTACTTTGTTTGGAAGGATTTTGTAAGAGGAGAGCTGAGGAAAAATGATAAACCTTGTTTGGTTAGAATAATGAAAGAGAAATAAAATATTATAAAAATGACAATTATACCTTAATGATGTAAAAAATAAAAAAATATAATAATTCACATAGTAAAGATAAAATAGTAATTTTGTATGTAAAAATTTTTACTCCCCTCCAAGCTCCTCCAATCTTGGAGGGAAGCAAAATTGGTGGAGGGGAGGGATTTTTGCTTAAAATTTCTCTTCCCCTAATCCCCTCCCCACCATTTCCTTCCAACCAAACAACCCCTTAAGCTATTAACTATCAAGTCAAACGTTACCAAACCCCCCTTTCTTTCACAATCGGAAACACGTCAAAGCCCATACTCCTCTAGCCTTTTAGCAAAGCCCAATAACTGGCACTAGGTAGGGTTTTAAGAAATACATAAATTGCCATAGCCTCTTTCAACAACATTGCCTCAGATTTGCTGCACAATCTCTCAACTCTGTTTCGAAGGTTCTTTCTATAGCCTTTTCGACTGAATGCTTCTTACATTTGTTGTTGTTGATTTTTTTATTCATTCACAGTTTATGTTCACTTTTCTATCGTATGATTCCGTGAAATCTTGCGAAATGCAATTCATGAGATAGAAATAGAACAAGTTTTTGTTTTGATTTCAAATTGGGATATTATGTCTTAATTATGAGTTTGTAAATTTGCTATTCAAATGCTTCGATTGTACATTTGACGAATGTTTACAGGCACCTTCTCAAGATTCAGTTGTTATAACACGGCTCGATATATTACTGGACTTGAACAAGAATTTTATTTTAATTAATTGGGTAACTGTGTCTAATGCCGCGTCGTCAACTTTGATTGCATTCTCCTTTATTATAACACGGCTCAGTATATTTCTGGACCTTTTATTTTAATAAATTGGATTACTGTGTCTAGTGCTGCACCTTCAACTTCGATTGCATTCTCCTTTGTTTGTTCGTGCCCTAAAAGCTGATTTGGTGTCTGCCATGTTTGATCTTTGACAGCTTATTACAGTCTAAGGACAGATATCCAGTGCATAATGTCTGGGTATGAAATTCTCAACTTCCTCCAATGATTATTTATTGAACTTTTCAAGATCATGGTCTGTTTATGAATGCTGTTCTCTTGAAAATTGAATGTTGGATAAATAATAGTATGACCTGGTATACTGCAAAATTACTCATGAAGCTAATGAAACTCTAGAGAAGATAAAAATCATATGAAGTCTTTTTATGAAATTAAAAAATCAAGAAACATTTACCCGAGACACATCATAAACAACTTTTTATATTACATTTCAGTGAAGAGCCTGTTGTTGTGGAGACTCCAGCTCCTGTTCCCGTACTAGGTGAGCCGATGGACATCATGACTGCTTTGCAACTTGTACTGAAAAAGTCATTGGCTAATGGGGGTCTTATTCGTGGACTTCATGAGGGTGCAAAAGTAATTGAGAAGCATGTTGCTCAGCTCTGTGTGTTGGCTGAGGACTGTGACCAGCCAGACTATGTTAAATTGGTTAAATCACTGTGCGCTGACCACAATGTGAACCTGATAACTGTTCCGAGTGCTAAGACCCTCGGTGAATGGTCCGGTGTAAGTAATTTCTCACAATTTGTTAGTTAAATTAATGTATCGTTTAGTGTTGTGATGGTATTTGGGAGAAATTGTATATTGAATTGCTTGTTGCCTTTTTTTTTTTCGGTTTTTTTAAATTATCTGACCTGACTTTAAATAGAGGATATCCTTGAGGTTAGGTCTCCTGCACTTATCATTCAAACTTACAATAGGTTTTGTGTAATGTCATAGAAGTTAATTATTATTTACTTTGGAATTGGATTTGACCTTGACAACAATGGTGATGACGGAAGTTCTTGAGCCGGTTGTCCATTTTGTTGCGTAGGACATGTGTAATAGTATTTGATTGTAGTGTTAATTTGTTGCCAATGTAGTTGTGCAAGATTGATTCTGAAGGAAAGGCCAGAAAGGTTGTCGGGGCCTCTTGTGTTGTGGTGAAGGTAATATGCCAAAAAACCTGATTGGATTACTATTTACTTTTATTGTTTCAGTTGTTTTGGTCTAATTGTGGCTTGATCTTTCAATTTTTTTCATTCAGGATTTTGGAGAGGAAAGTGAAGGTCTCAACATTGTTCAAGAGTATGTCAAGTCTCACTGAGGAGCTAGAGAGGGGGCTCTGAATTGTCAACAACTTTTGATAAGAGACTTGATATTTATGTAGCACTTTTTCAGGACAATGATCCTCATGAAGCAACAGATTTCCCGAGTCTAATTATATTTTTTACGTTGGGATTTTTCATTTGCTGGGTTTTTTCAGAGTTATCAGTGGCGATGATTAAAATTTGTATGCAATTGGAAATCAGTTACCGGTTTGACTGGTTTCTTGTTTCTTTTTATGCAATCTCACATTTCAGTATTTCTCGTAATGGTTAATCCCAAGTTGTCACTTTATTAATAAAAAAATCATGTTCTCTCTCTCTCTGGATATGGCAATAACATGCTAGAGTTGGACGTCAAATGTAACTTCTATTTTGAATTGTTTTATAACTCTTAACGAAATTTATTAATGTTTAGGCATTTCCGTAGATTGCCAATGAGATTTAATTATGTCTGTAGAAAGAGATTCCAGTACTGAGCTGATTTGAGTTGCAATCCGAGTAATACTGAGTGATCGTGATAAAAGCTAATGATTCAGAGCCAATTAATAACAGTAAAGCCAAAAGATAAAAACACTAAAACTTCCAGGAGTTGCTCTATTCAAAGCTCAAGGCATAGCTGTAGTTGCCGAGTTCAATTAAAAAATATGTGTAAAATTGCATTACCTTCACTCTTAACTGCAGCAGACATTAACAAGAAGAATGGGGAAGATGTGAAATACCAAAAACATGTAATATGATAAGAGAGATAAACTACGCTACGATTAGCTGGATCACTTGTATCATCTTTTCCGATGGTTCATTTGCCTTCAGTAATGGGAAGATACACGCCCTCAGCTGCCAACCACACATTATCGGCTCTTTTATCTCCAACACCACAAACCTGCATGGAAATACAATGCCATTTGTCACTAAAAATTGTAGAGAGCCTTGGAACTGAATCATGTCCCTATACTACTTTTTGGCTAATAGATTCTTTCTTACCTCTTGCTGGCCCCCAGCAATGCGAGTGTATTTCTTGTCATGACTGTGCAGATACCCACCAGTGTCTACGTGGCGAAGCCTGATCCTTTGGTCTTGCCTCCAAGTCTTTCCACTTCCCTCGATTTCGAGTCTGTAAAGTAGAAGGATTATTATGAATCATGAAGTGAAATTACAGCGCAATCGAGAAAGATCATAAAACGGTCTCACCTCCAGTAATCTCCAGTGTCAGATTCCCCATCACTGCCAAAGCAACTAACCTGCATATTTTGTCTTTTGTGAGTGTAAGATGTTATAGCAATAACTAACCAGAATATACAGACCCAAGTAGTGCAATTCGGGAACAAATTTCAACTTGCAAGAGAGTATTATAACACACTATCATGGCATAGATATCTATAGAATCTTTCTATTAATTTCAACTTGCAAGAGAGTATTATAACACACTATCATGGCATAGATATCTATAGAATCTTTCTATTGATCTATAGAATCTTTCTATTGTTGTAGCAGTCGGCTCATAATTTCCAATAGCGAGCTACCTTTCTCAACTAATGAGAGGATAAAAGTAAACTTACTTAAACTAACCATATTACAGAATAATAAATAAAAAATCATGTTAAACATTTGTGATGAAGAAACAAATTATACAATAAATGAGTAAAATAATTGAGTATGAAAGTGACATTAAATATATATAGTTGTGTACAATAAAACTTGTAGAGAGAGAAGAGAGAAACTGAGAGAGTCACGCAAGTCTAGTAAAATCCCACCAATCTGATGAGATTTCTACTGTGACTTTGTCTTTGTAATTTTATTGAAAAAGTTTCAAAAAATCTTTCAAATTAAAGTCTCATAAAGTCTTGGGTAAATAAAAACTCTAAGTTTTAATTGAATACCTTGAGAGTTTACTGAATACATGCAAACTTTTTAGAAGTCTCAAAAAGTCCCAATTTAATACATTTGAATTCTAAGAGTCTAATCAAAGTCTTATATGAATACACCCTCTTCAGAAATTTTAACTCCTGATAATTTAGAACTGCTGAGTCGCGTATCCCCATGCACAAGGTGCATTACCAATGAAAATATGTTATTAAAAGCACTAACTAATAAGATGTGCAATGAAGGAACATGGAATATAAATGAACACAGTACTCTTTCTGGTTGATAACTCGTTTAACCCCATTGATTATGTTCATAAATGTAACTACTTCCAAAAAGTCGTAAAAGAAAAGAAATGTTATTATCCTATTTGAGTAAAATATATACACCCTTTTGTTCTTAAGGCAAACCAGATACCAACTATGACCCATATACGGCATAGAATTACATCTCCGCAGAACATCTTAGAGGTAAGTACCCGAAAAACTTTAACATTTCAAGAGCTGACTTAATTAGCAGTTGTTATTCCTCATCAACAAACTTTTGACTTTGCAATAAGGCTGAATCCATATTACACCTGAAAGAATAATCCAGGTTTTTTACTAACAAAAAATTTATGTACTCAGAGTTAGAGACTGTCTTAACGAGTTCAAGAAAGAGGCAGTGACAAATGGAAAAACAATTACAGATTTTATCGTCAATGCTAGTGCACGCCCAAGTCAGTTCATAATACTGCTTGATATATACCTACAACAAACCACTGTACTTTATAAAGTCAACAGTTCCTAAAATTCTCCAATTCAAAACAGTATAATATAGGTTCATAAAATGAGTTTAGTGTATAAAGGAAGACAATGCTTTAACTTGGAATCATCAAAGTAACCATAACATTCACCTTGATTTACACTAGGAAACATGCTTGCATACCACATGAATGTTATAATCTAAAAAATAATCAAAATCCCACACTATAAAAAGTAAAAAGTTCACTATTTGCAGAACTTCAGGCGTAGTGCGAAAGTATTGAATTGCATTTTTACAGTTCTACAACCATAAGTAATGACAAAGACAATATGTGCGTGACACTAAACATATCTGCCCAAAAATGAACGCATGCCCACATACCTCCAAATTGCTAGATATAGGAGAAGCATGCAAGTGACTGTGCAGCCATTTCCTAGTTCTCATATGTAGCAACCTAATAAGCTCTCCACTTTTGATTGCATCACCTTGCTTTGCAGAATTTGCTGTAGGCTTCACAATCTGCTAACAATAACATTTTCAATAACGAGTAACTATGCAATCTGAGAGATACTTTACTGGGATGACAGAAATCATTAACATACCCAGTAGCTGTTAGAATCATCAACATTAGGAAAACCAGTCACAGACTGCTGGCCACTGCCAGAGCCATAAGGTACATCATGCGAGTGGAGACGGAATTTTGTCTTCTCGTGCATCAGCTTGATGACAGAACCATATGTTATCTGTAAAAGATTGGAGATATCAGAAAGGCTTGCTGATAGTACAACCAAAACATAGAACAAAACTAAAATGTGTCTTTCACATCACTTTAGCTACTTGACTGACATCTCTGCCTGAAATTATAAATGCAGAAGGCAGTAGAAGAAGTTAAACCAGCTCAAACATCATCATTCCCAATATTCAATGGTTTCTTATCGATCACACTGTTTCCTTCTTCATCAGTATTCCCTGGTCTATACAGTAAAATATATAGGACCGTCACCATAACTTCAACACAACACATGGAAACAAGGTCATCATTTTTCCCACATCAAATCATGAGTCAGGCAGTCACTATTGTTCACCGTTCGAAGAACTGTTACCTTAACAATACATCTCTTCGCCACTAAGTTTAACAAGTTAAATCGCAAATTTCGCAAAACGTTTGAATTTAATTATTCAAAAGAAAAATTGCAGCTGCATTCCAAAACTGTTATCCCAAAAATTACCCATCAAAAACTAACCTAAAGATTCATCTACCCCAAACCTCCTCAAGACAATCGATTAGCAGTAGTCACTTGCCTGAACACCTTCCGAGGCCGCAGAAACTGGAGTCGTCGCATAATCGGAGTCGAGCGTCAGCAGCAGGAAAATCGCGAGGCCGAAAAAAGAGACAGCCATCACTAGCAACAGGACTATGAACCAAGTGCTCTGCCAAAACGGAAGTTTCAGATCCGAACCAGACGATCGGCCGACGGACTCTCTGTACACAATTCGGGTCCGACCCGAGGCGGCTGATAGAGCGGACGCTGGGGATGATTTTCTACGCGTGAGGTTGCTTGGCGGATGCGAGGGAGCCACGGTTGGAGCTTGTACGCCGGTGCCGGAGCTCCGAACAATATACAATAGGAGTTTCCAATTCCGGGTTTCTCGATCAATATGGTCTCATTCTATTTCATTGCGTCGTCAGAGCACGTGCTCTACATAGCGATTTTTTTACTTCTAACTTTTAATTTTTTAATTGATTTTTATTTGTAAATGTTATTTTGAGAAAAAATACATCAACAAAAATTTTATTTTAAATTTTGATTTTATAGTTGTGTTTAAATTTTATTTTGTACAAGTTAACTTTTCAAATATAAATTATAAATTATAAGCCCGAAAATCTATAAACTATCTTATTAGGGGTTCAGTCGATGCTACCCGTGCGGGTGGCACCCATTGGGGTGTTTTTAGCATTTTTAATAATGCTATTAGCCTTTTTTCCATTTTACTTGTAGTATTTTGGATATACTATTTTATGCAACAGCTACTTGTGTTTGTAAATTTCTTAATCTTTTTAATTGTTTTTCACATATCATTATCATGTCGTAATAAAATTCTTCACTTGTAATATCATGTAAATAAGCATATCTTATTTGTTCTGTTTTTATATTTTGAATTTCCCATTCTATATCTAGATATATTTTTATAGTACTCATTTTTATTTTCCTGTTTTTGGCTCGTTATCTAGCTCTGATACCATATTTTAACCTTATATATTTTCTTCTTTAAAGCCATTTATATTATTGTTTTAGGTGGTCCTATTCTATGTAATTTCTTAAACTTTTTCTTATATTTTTGTATATCATATTCTATCTGTTTTATTTTTTGTTCATCCTTATTTATATATGAATATTGAATTGATTTTTCTATTAAATAATCTGCTTCTTTGATTTCCCTTCGTAATAATTCAGTTAATTCAAGATTTATATCTTTCTTATCCATTACTACAAATTATATTTCATCCTTGTCTATACCTTTGTACATCATTATTTGCTTGTTGTAATTTTTGTTCATCCCTTTCTATATATGTATTTTGTACTAGTTTTTCTATTAGATAATCTACTTCCTTAATTTCTTTTCTTCTTATTTCATATAATTCAAGATTTTGGTATTTCATTTATCCTAATAATGTTGCATTATCTAAATAATTTTCATATTTTATTGCATCCTGTCTATAAACTTCTATTCTTACTATTAACTCAAGATATTCCTTTTTATTTGTTGGTTTAAATATTTTATAACTCTTCCTATACTCATCGGGAATTTTCTTAATTTCATTATAGCTTTCTATCTTATTTTTAATAGTTAATTTTTCTTTTTTTAGTTCTTTTAGTTTTAGTCTTATATCTTTCATTTTAATTTTTATTTTGTATTCAAGTGGGATAATCTCGATTAAGATGAGATTCAGCCAATAATATTCCATTTTTAAGATACCTTACATTTAAAGGATGTAAAAGATATTCGTCATTTTGAATCATTCTAATGCTATAAGCAATTCTTTCGATATCTGAATCTATTAAATTTTTATCATACTGTCTTGTAACAGTGTAATATTTTTCTTTTAATTTTTCAAGGGCTGAATTTAAAACATATTCCCAAGGAATTGCGGGCATGATTATTTTATATTTAAATTCTTTTATTTAGGCTTATTACTAAATTGCTTAAGTCATTTACTTGTTTATTTAATGTTTTTATTTCATTTTCTTCTTCATGTATATTTTTAGTACTAAATGGTTTTTCTATCTCTCTTCTTTCGACTAAATCATTACTGTATGAATGTCTTCCTAATGTTAAAGGTGCCTTACTAATTATTCTCATATTGTGTTGTCTTAAAAACTCTTTTTGAATATTATCATTTTTTATAATTGTACTTGTTTCATTAAATATTTTTTCTGTATATATTCTTTCTTGATTTTGATAGTGCATGCTCAAACTACTATTACTTAATGCGTATGAAATTCTATAACAGACAACCATTGGTATGTCTCCTGAGTCCATTAACGTTTTTTCTTGAAAATTACATATTATTCCTAAACAATTGTTTATTTTCTTAGTTGCTAATGGTATAGGAAATTGTAATGATATGTTAAATTTAATTACTCCATATCCTAGGTCTCCTTCTATTTCTCCTAGTTTTCTTGATTCCTTATGCATAATTCTATTGTCTTCAATTATAATATTTATAGGTGTTTTTATTCCTTCTCTAAATGTTGATTTTAATATAATTTGAACCGTGTTTATATGTATATATCCTATTTTCTTTCTATCTTCTTCCTTAATTTTTTCTAATCTTTTTTCTATCTGACTTATTTCTACAAGGGGTGCTTGAAATCTATAATTGGCTTGTTCTATTTTTATGGGTTGTTCTCCACTCATAATTCCATATACTATTGTATTTCTTCTAATTAATTTGTTTAATAAGCTATTATTTATCCCTTCTCTTTTATCTATGTCTAAATTTCCTTTATTTTTTACCTTCGTTACTAGCTTCTTATCTAATAATATATCTGCTAAGTATGTTCCCTTTTCTTCTATATGTTCTATAGTTTGATACTCGTTTTCCATTTTTATTATCTAACTACGAATGATTTTTTCAAAAACTGTTTTCTAAATTGTAAATGAAAGCAAGAGTAAATATAGAATGATAAGAATATACCTCTGATTTTCTCCTTGTTTCCAACACAACTGGGGTTTGATCTTTCTGGCATTCAACACCTTCGATCTCCAGCTCTTCAGTGTTCCAGGAAACTCTTTGAGAAAATGTCTAGTATATTGTTTCACTCTTCTTATTTAGCTCACGCTTGCTAATTATTTAGTTGTTCATTTCTTTTTGAAACACACACTTTTTATTTCAGAAAATATTTTACAGACTCGAACTTCATACAAACTTGAATTGAGCACACCTTATGAATGGTATACTCGACTCCTTATATAGGCGGAGTTGCTAAGGATAGATGGCTAAGATTAGCCGACTAGATCAATGGTCTAAAACCATACCGCGTTAAGTGATAAGGTTTGCCATTGTTTTTTCAAAAAGTGGTGGTCATCATGCAAGATGCCATTCTCCACTGTAAAAGTTAAAAAGGTGGTGGACATCGTGCAAGATGCCATTCTCCACTCTTAAAAAGTAAAGAGAAAGTGGTTCAAATGGACCACAAAAAGACGCGTCCCTTTTTTATCGTGGGACTCAATACAGACTTATTATATTTTGTCTACATTTTCATGACGTATGTGCTTACGTCTTTTATTCTTCAATTATTGGATCTTCTTCTTCTTCTGGCAGTATTTCTTCAATTGCTTCTGTGTTACATTCTCTACAAATGTGATCTTCTGTAAATTCTTTCTGTAGTCGAATGCAAATACTCTTTTTTAGCTGTGTAGGGAATTCATACTGAATTTGCATAAGATCATCTAGATATTTGTTTAATGTCTGTTTGTCTTTTTCTGATGGATCTCTTGACTGCATACTCCAGATGATTACTGATTTTGCCGCATAATTAATTCGCCCTTTGAGCCAGATGCCTTTCTTGAGTATTATGACATAATTATTAAGAAACTGATTTGTCTCATCCTCATGATATGCTTTTCCTATATCTGGGTAATTTGTATTACTTACTCCAAGTTGGCAAAGTTGTAGTGCTGGTTGCGTAATTTCTCCCCCCTCTGTGAAAACAGGAGTTGTGGCAAAAATTTTTAGAAATCCTTCCTTCTTTCCTAGTATTCTGGATATATACTGACTTATTACTTGTCTGATCTTAATCGGAAAGTACTGAAATATGTCGGTTCCCTTGAAATAGATGCAACTTATAAGGCCTGATTGGAATAACATATATACTTTCATTGGATTTGCTTCTGGTAACACTACCACCTTCGGACCTAGGTATACTCCATCAATGGGATAAATACTTGTCTGTTTATCAATCTCAGTGTAATTAACAACGAACTTGAATTCATCGTTAAACCTTTCTCGTGTGAGATTTGTAATTTCTTCTTTTTGCTGTTTTGTCTGAATGTTGTCGATTGTCATTGGTCTAAATGTAGGAATTTTGCCAATTACTGGTAATTGCTTACTTGCTGCTTTGGCTGGTATTTTTGCTTTTTCTGCATACGTATTCTGGAATTTTTCCAAAGCTTGTTGAGCTTCAAAAAGACTCGAGAATTTTTGATATATAATATTTTTATTACCTACTGTATGGACTGCAACTTCAGCCCATTGTGTATAAATTCCTTTATGTTCACCTGTAAAGATGACATAGTGTATTTTTGGTCTTTCTTCTTCGTCTATTTGCTTAGAAGATTCCTCGGATTCTTCTTTCTTTTTGCTTTCAATCTTTTCACCCTGAATTTCTTCGGGAAACAAGACTGTTCTTATTGCTTTTATTTCATTTTCAATTTTTGCGAGTTGCTTTCGTAATCCTTCTGCTTGCTTTTCTAAATCTTTCATTCTTTCCATTAGTAATGGTCTTATTGCTTCCATTCTCTTGTTAATGTATCTGCAAGAAAATTTTCATGAGTAGAAATATATAAGGAAATATAATCAAACTGTTGTGCCTTTAAACTCCATCGTAGTATTCTTCCTTTATTGTAGGATTCTTTTAGTTTATATTTCGTAAAGTCTTTTGTATAGAGGCTGTCTGTTTGAAAAATAAATTTTACTGGTTGTAAATCTAATTTAAATTTTTCCAAAGCGTTAATGAAAGCCAATGTTTCTTTCTCATGTGTTGTGTAATTACGTTCTGCTGGTTTAAATGTTCCTGATACCCATTTAGATAGTAATAAATTGTTGCCTTCTTTAATTTTCTTTCGTAAAAATGTTTTTACTTCAGAAAGTTTATTTTCTCTGACAAGCTGTTTAAATTCTTCGTATGTATCTGGGATTGCTTGAAGAATTGCTCCCCAAGTATCCTGGCTTGCATCAGTATTCAAAATGACTAAATCATTGGGTTTAAGTAAATAAAGTCGTGGTAAATGAGTACATAACCTTTTTAGAGATTGTACTGCTCTAGTTGCATCATCGGTCCATTTCCATGGTGTTTTTTCAGAAATCATTTTTTGCAACAACTCTCTTTCTTTTGCTAAACTTTTTATAAAACCTTTTTCTCCTATGTAAGTAAGACATCCGAGAAATTTTTGTATTTGGTTTCTATTTTCAAGCTGATCTGGGAATTGATGTATTTTTTCAAGTAAATGTTTTTGTGGTTCTATATAACCTCCTTCAACTATTTTCATTCCTAAAAACTCAGTTTCGGTTTTGCAAATTTTTGCCTTTTCTTTACTTAAAATAATTCCTTTATTTCCTAATTGTATAAGAACCTTTGCAAGTTCTTTTAAATGTTCTTCTTTTGATCCTTGTGTAAAAACAATTATATCATCTATATAAGCAAGACTTATTGATTCTAATCCTTTAAGATTATTATCCATAAATCGTTGATATATACTAGGTGCTTGTTTTAGTCCAAATGGCATTACATTATATTCATAGTGATTTTGCGGTGGACAACTAAATGCTGTTAATGGTTTAGTTTCTTCATGTAACCTTAACTGCCAATATCCTGATTTAGCATCTAATGTACTATACCATTTTGCTTTCTTTATTCTACTAAAAATATAATCTTGTCTCGGTAGTTTATATGCATCTCCTTTAGTAGCCTTATTCATTTCTTTATAATTTATTACCATTCTTCTTTTTCCTCTTTTTAATTCATTATGATTTTCTACATAGAATGCTGGTGCACTATGTGGGCTTGTACTTGGTTGTATAATACCTTTTTCTAACATCTTTGTAGTTTCTTCTTGAAATTCTTTAACATCTCTTTCTGTATATGGTATTCTATTTGGTACATTAACTTCTTTATTAGGATCTATCAATTCTATTTTAACTATCATGCTATTCGTATTTTTATCTGGATCTAATGGATCTTGACTACATATGTTTTCTAATAGTTGGTTAATTTGTTCTTCTAAATTTATGCTTATCATTTTGTAGATTTGAAATGAAACTTTTCTTAATATTTCCCCCCTTATAAAAGAAGACGTATTGTATATTTTTGTGGTTATTATTTTACTAGACTGGGTATCTAGTTGTGGACATCTAAGGCTTATACTATTTAATCTTTGAATAAATGGACTGTATAATTTAAGAAAGTTATTTCCAATTATTAATGGTAAGCCTGTATTTTGTTTATAAAGACTTGGTAAAGGAAATCTTTTTTCTTCTATTAATAATACTAAATCTGTTGCTCTATAATCAATACTTATTGTTTTATTATTTGCAATTCTTACGATAATTGGTTTGTTTAATTTCTTCCAATATTTACTAGGTAATATAGTTTCTTTTGCTAGACATATTGTTGCACCTGTATCTATATATGCTAGTAAAAATTTGTTAAATAATTTAACTTTTATAAATGAACTGTTTTTACTCATTTTCTGATTCAGATGTTTCTAAATCACTATCTGTTTCTGATTCTAAATCGTATATGTCAAAATCTAAGAGTTCACCTTCCTCATATTCATCTTCTATCGGTTCATAACCTAAAGAAAATATCATTTTTAACTTCTTTTCTTTTTCTGGTATGTTTTTAGGGCATTCATTTGCATAATGTCCTATTTCTTGACATTTCCAACATCTACAATTCTTTTTACCTTTAGGGCAATATTTAGGTTTTCCTAGATATTTTCCTTGTTTTCTAAACTTTCCTTTATATTTTGTTTTCCACGGTTTTCTAAATGTTTTATATCTTCTTGGTCTATATCGTCTATTAAATTTATTATATTTATAATATCTCTTCTTTTTGTATGGATTATAACAACCAAATTCTTGTGGTACACTTTCTAATTGTTTGCAACATCTTGAATCGACCTTAGTCATTTCATGATGTTCTATTTTTCTTATACAAAGTTCATCTCTATATTCTTTTGCGTATTTTTCTAAAATTCCTAGAGTTTTTTCTTCTTTTGTTTCACTTATTTTATTTTGAATATATTTATTCATTTCATATTTAAGTTTACTTTCAACTATTTCTATTAGTCCTGATCGATCCTTTATTTTATAAAAATTTTCTCTTACTTGACAGAAAAAATTTTCTATATAACATATATTACATAATTTCATATTTGTTAAAAATCTAATTACCTTATCTTTTTGTGTTTCTTTTGATTCTTGTCCTGTAATTCCTAAAAATTCTTTTAACAAATCTTTTGCTAATTCTTTTAAAGCTCCTATTTTATATTCTGCTCCCGTTTCTGAACCACTAGCTTCAAGATTTAATAAAATTTGAGTGTTTTCTAGATAATCAAATAATACTCCAGACGTTTTATATCTTATATAATTGACAAAATCAATTAATGTCATTCCATTTATCATTGAATCATTTGTTTGAACTAGTAATTTCAATTGATTAGTCCAAGTGACTATTAAATCTTCTGTATTAGTTGCACAATCTATATTTAAAATTCCATTAGATAAATTTCTTTCTTTTTCTAAGTATGCTGGTGGAATATTTTTCTTTATTTTTTCTTGATGATAGCTATATTCATTTCTATATATAAAATCTCTAAAACTACTTTCTACATAATTATTCTGTGAACTGGATGCTTCATTATTAGTTTTTGTAGGTCGTTTTGGTGATAATGGTGGTGTTGAATGAGGTTTTTGATCAGTCATATTAAACGTTGGTTCATCTTCATCTTCGCTATCTATTCCGTAGATTATTCCTTGTTTATCCTCATCATCTATTTTTGCCATTCTAGTTTCTTCAATATTGCATTTTTCTAATAATTGAGTTAACCTATCTATATCATCCATTAGAGCTTGTTGGCGGTTCTATTTGAATTGGTTTAAATAATTTTTTCCGTACTTTTTCTTTATGTATTAAATCTTGTAGTTCTTTTATTATTTCTTTTATTTCGTCTAATTTTCCAAATGTTTCTAATTGAGACTTTTTTATTATTTCTATAAGTGTTCCTATTTGTTCTGACATTTTTGGTGGATCACTCATAATACTTTCCTTAATAATAATTTTGCTAAATAGATTTTTCTTTTGGTCTGCCTATAGTAAACTTTGGTGTGTTTATAGTACCTTAATAGTCAAAAATTTGCCACATGTTTTGTTCTTATTGGCTCTTGCTAAAAATGGGTAGTACCCATGCGGGTGGCATGAACTAAACCCTTATTAGGTTTTAACTAGCAAAAACTTCTCCTACCCTCCCATAATTTTCCAATAAAAAAACAAAACTTCCCTCCTCTGAGTCCTCTCTCCCCTCCTTCTTTCCCCCAACCAAACAATGCGGTAGTTCAAGTAAAAGGGGGCAACTGAAAAAAGAGAGCAGCAATATTCAATCGCGTTGTTTGTTCCCTCTGCTATGCGATCAGGTATGATTCATCCATGCAATTGAACTGAATCTTTCAGTATTTTATCGTTCTGTCTTCCCTTCACTTGCCCGTTGTGGTACTCGTTTTGTATATTTATGAATTCTGAAGCTGAAAAATTGCCCTGAAAACAGTGCTTCTCCTGACAGAAAATTTTAGATCCCTTTTGTTATATAAGGTAACATAATTACTGGAAAGACTAATATCACCTGACATGTTAGAAGTTTTAGCTGAGGTTGCTACAAGGCTCTCTCTTGGCCTTGGAATTCTTTTACCATGTTTTTTCTTTCACATTAGAGTATGGCTCAAATTTATGTTTTAGAGGATTTTCATGTTAAGTTTCACATGTACAACCTCGGTACAATTATAAGACCTGCTTTTGCCAAATTTAGTGTCTTTTTTCTAGTAAAAGCACTGTTTCTTTAGTATACGACTGTCCTGCTTAATGCCCGAGACCCCTGAGTGAAAACAATTTAATAATAAAGTTATATACTTTTCTGTTTCAGGTTTTTGGGATGAGCTATGGTGATAAGAGTTATGGTGAGAACTTAATTGGCCGCAGGGTAAAGATCCGGTGGCCAAAAGATAAATTGTGAGTGCTCTATGTTTCTGCAATATTTTCTGTTAGTGTCGCTGACTTCTGATTTGAGTGTTGTCGCCATTCTTAATCGAGTGTTATGCCACTATTATCTTGTTACTTGTGTGTATTCTTTGGTTTATCACCCTTTCCTGTCATGGCTCGTTTTTGGATTTTATTTCTATTCTAGTTAGAGTTTCTAAATTTGATTCCAGTTGCCACTTTCCATGCATGATTTATCATATTTAGAATGCTATTCTCCAGGTTTTGTGAGGGGGTTGTGTCGTCACATGGCTGTTCAGGAAAGAACTTGGTACCTAATCTATGTGACTCTCTAGGATCTAATAGTGAATGCGCTTTCCTCATCTTATCAATTACTATGCATTCCTCTCCTAAAAAATATCTTTAATGTTATATGTTATTAAGTTGTATGGATATTGTTGTATCTAGACCCTTTTCTCTTTTCTCGCTCCTCGATATATGTTAGGTGGTTTTTACTAGTGGCTTAGAAGAAATTTTGGACCTAAATAAGGACAACGGAAGGCCAGTTAAAGATGAATTTTCCGATCAAGTAGGCAACTGCGAATTTCAATGTTTCTTCTTGGTCCTTCCTTGCTTTCTCTGTGTGTGTTTGAAATCAGTATCATTTTTGTGTATAGGGAACAAAAACATGTGGTCCTGTTCATGCTTCATCCCACATGTAAGTTTTTTGTGTTGAAATCTTTGATTTACTTGCTAATGCAGCTTAGAGCGCAAATCAGATTGTACATCACACTTGAATTTGATGATCAGAATAATATATCTTATCTATTTCTCTGAAACTCTTACTGGTCCTCTCTGTTTCATTTTCAGGCCTTTTATGAAGGGCTTTAAGAATTTGGGAACTAATTTTCTTTAAGTGTTCTTATGTTATCTGAGGATACAACTTTGATTATATTAACGCATCACTAATTTATTGTGAACCTGATAAAAATGTACCTCGCTTTAATCCTGGCTTTCTTATTTTAAAGGCGACTTACTTTTGCAAAGTAATAACTTGGTTATACAATGTAGTTATGGTTGTCTAAATTATCCCTTCTGCTAAGAGAGGAATTTTCTGCTCTTTTAGATAATATAGTAATCTTGTCTTAAGGCCAGGCCTCCAGAAAAGGATGACTCCAAGTATAATGGTGAAGAATTAGTTGGCTGCAGGGTAAAGATTTTGAGGCCCAAAAGTAAGACGTGAGTGGTTTACTTACTTACATGCACCACATTATATTGTACCAATTCTCGCCTCTTTTTATCTCTTCGTATGCCATTATTTCCCTGCCCATTCAACTCGTTCTAGATTAAGTTGTCACTATATTAGATGTTCGCCCTCCATCATCTTGTGGTTCTTGTTCTGCAGGTTTTCCGAGGGTGTTGTTGCGTCATATGACCTTTCTCAAAAGCAGCACTTGGTAAGTTGTCTAAGTGAGCTCTTCAATCTTGAATGTTTGATAAACTCTCGTTTATTTAGTCCAAACCAGTGTTTTAAAACGCGCATTGCGCATCTGGTGGCGTTTTGGTCCTTATATTGCGTAGCGTAAATAGCGTAGCGCATTGCGTAAGCTATTCGAACAGTTCACTTTTAATGCCAAAAATAGTAATATATATAAACATACAAGTAAATAAATAATTGAAATAGTCTTAAACCATAAACTTGGACATTAAATCTAAAAAACAACATTCAAATATTAGTTCATACAAACAACCCAAAGTCATAATCTTCAAAGTAAAGACTCAAAATCTAAAAATAATCGGTTTCATCCAATTGAATTTGGCTATTATCGTTAATGCTATCAAAGTGTGGGAGATTCCCACTATCAAAGATCATTGGTCCAATTTTACCAAATTCTTGCATCTCCTCATCATCATGAATGTCAATAGGATCCTTGTTTCCACCTGTTACATTCAAATATAATTTAAGAACTAACATTTTGAAAAACAAAAATGTTGGCATACTTACCTGAGCTTTCACCAACTCTTTTCTTGTTCATAATTGGAGAATGATTTTGATCTTCATTATCAACATCAATTTTGATTCGCTTATCTGAATCCAAAAGGCTATCAATGATTCCCGATGGCATACTAACAATAGTATTCCTTTCAAACAGCTCATCATCAACAGGCCAAATAGTATTATTCGGGAGGGCGGGATCTTCTAAATCTGTTATCAGCTCATCATCCGAATCAATTTCATCAACTATAATGGGATCCATCTTGTCTCTCCTTCTAATACTTCTCTCCCTTAAATCTATAGTTATACTTCACAAAGAGTAAAGCATTCAATCTTGAATGTTCAAGTCTATTCCTCTTCTTCGTATGTATCTAAGAAAAAGGAAAAGAAAAACATTTAGTAAATTTAGTACATAAGAAAAGAAATAAAAATCATTTAAGTAGTTTATTAAAAAAAAAATATTACCGACTCAAATGTGCTCCAATTTCTTTCACATCCCGAAGTGGTACAAGTAAGACTAAGAACCCGTATATCAAATCTCATAAGCTCGGATGTTTTGCTTCCAAACTGTTTCCACCATTTTGCTAAAATAATGATAAAGAAAGAAATTCAATAACTATTTAAATGCGTAAAAATTGCATGAAAAAAATAAACTATAATTATGAGTATTATACCTGTAGAACGCAACATCCTAGACTTAGCCATTGGACTTCCAAATTCTCTTTATGCAGCAACAACAACAACAACATACCCAGTATATTCTCAAATTCTCCTTATGCATTGTCATAAAAATCCAATTGAATATCAGGTTGAAGACAACCGTCGCGCGATAATATTCGGTCCACACGCATACAATCCATCTTTAACATCTGAAGTATTGCAATAACTGGCTGCATGTAGGGGATGGTGAAGTTGTGGAGTCCATCTATCATCAATTTTTCTCCAAATTGGTCTCCTTTGCCCTTCTCATTATCTCTTAAAATTATCCCATGGTCGGGCTCTCTTCAGAATCAACCTCCCTTAATACGCTAACAAGGGGCACAATGCTTTTAACACAAAATGTTACATGCGGCAAAAAATCAGGATCATTGACAACAATTCTTTTGATAAGTTTTCCTTCAACTTTTTTACTTTTAGCTTGAGCAGAACTAACCCATTCTTCAGAAGCAAACATAATTTCAAGAGGCCTTTTTTGTTTGTACATGCTTTGGAGGGTTAAGAAAGCAGTGGCAAAAGGGAGTTACTGCGGGACGAGGAAGCTCTTTCCCGTCTGTATGCTTCCTCATCAAAGAAAGGATAGTGTCATGACCATAAATAAACTTCACAACTCTTTTAGCTTTTTCAATCGTATCTGAAAATATACTCAATTTTGTAATTGATTCCAACATGAGACGTGTCCACCATAAAGATTTTCGTGTCGTCATCAACTTTTTCCCCACCTTTACACAATTACTAGCCTTATCACTGATAACTTGGATAACATTATCCTCCCTTAATCTCATTCATCAAGATAATTGAAATTCACCATTTTTGATAGAGTCAGAAACATCAACGGATTTCAAAAAATAAGTGCTGGCATGGCTATTCACTAGAAAATTTAGTTAAGCTCTATTCTTCCCATCCGTCCACCCATCGGACATTATAGTACATCCATATGTTTTCTAAATTTTTTTGTGCTTCTCATAAATAACATTAATGTCACTCACTTCTGATTTAAGCAACCGCGTTCTTAGTTCATGCATAGAAGGAGGTTTGTACTCTTTGCCATATTCCCCAATTTCCTCAACCATCAGTAACCAATGAGGATTGTTGTCGACATTGAAGGAAAGTCCCGCAGAGTACACAAAACGAGCGACTTGACGATCAGTATCTTTTTTTATATGCTGAATTTGTAGTTGTCTGTCTCGGTTTGGAATGGATTGATGACAGTGTCCAGCTATACAAGTTTGTCCATTTCAAACCGAGACGTACAACTATAAATTCCGCATACAAAAAAGAATTAAAAAAAGATATTGATCGTTGAGTCGCTTGTTTTGTGTACTCTGCGAGACTTTCCTTCAATGTCGTCAACGATCCTCATTGGTTACCGATTGTTGAGGGAATTGGGGAATATGACAAATGGTACAAACCTCCTTCCATGCATGAGCTAAGAACGCGGTTGCTTAAATAGAGGTGAGTGACATTAATGTTATTTATGAGGAGCACAAAAAAATTTGAAAAACATATGGATGTACTATAATGTCCGATGGGTGAACGGATGGGAAGAACAAAGTTTTACTAAATTTTCCAGTGAATAGCCGCATCACTTTTTTTGCTTGACTGTATCAAAAATGGTAAATTGATTTTCAACTATCTTGATGACATTGTGAATGAGATAAAGGGAGGATAATATTATCACTAGTAATTGTGTAAAGGCGGGAAAAAGTTGATGACGATAAGGAAATCTTTATGGTGGACACCTCGTGTGGCACATTGCATTGATCTCATGTTGGAATCAACTGCAAAATTGGGTATATTTTCAGATACAATTGAAAAGGTTAAAAGAGTTGTGAAGTTTATTTATGATCATGTCACTATCCTTTCTTTGATGAGGAAGCATACAAACGGGAAAGAGCTTCTTCGTCCCGCGGTAACTCGCTTTGCCACTGTTTTCTTAACCCTTCCAAGCATGTACAAACAAAAAAGGCCTCTTGAAATTATGTTTGCTTCTGCTTCTTCCTACCGAGGAAGGAAAGACTGATAAGGTACGAGTGAAATACCTATAACGAGACAAGCAAAGAGAGGGCCAGAGAAAGGACAAATATAACTCTACTTCGCTCGGGGCGGGGCATAAACTACTCCCAGGGAGAATTCTTTATTGAGTTGAGAGTGGGCTTAAGAAGAATGGGTTAGTTCTCCTCAAGCTAAAACTAAAAAAGTTGAAAGAAAACTTATCAATCCTCAATGATCCCGATTTTTGGCCGCATGTGACATTTTGTGTTACAAGCATTGTGCCCCTTGTTAGCATCTTAAGGGAGTTGATTCTGAAGAGAGGCCAGTCTGGGATATATTTATGAGCTCATGAGAAAGGCAAAGGAGACCATTAAGTTTAATTGTGGGGGGATTCGAAATAAAATATATGCCAATTTGGAGAAAAAATGATGATAGATGGGCTCCACAACTTCACCATCCCCTACCTGCAGCCGGATATTATTTGAACCCGCAATTGCGTTATGAATTCCTATTGCAATACTTCAGAAGTTAAATATGGATTGTATGCGTGCATGGACCGAATGTTATCGCCCGACGATCGTCTTCAAGCCGATATTCAATTGGATTTTTATGACAATGCACAAGGAGAATTTGGAAGTCCAATGGCTAAGAAGTCTAGAATGTTGCGTTCTCCAGGTATAATATTCATAATTATAATTTATTTTTTTCATGCATTTTTTACGACTTTAAATAGTTATTGAATTTTTTTATCATTATTTTATCAAAATGGTGGGAACGGTTTGGAGCAAAACACCTTGAGCTTATGTGATTTGCTATACGGGTTCTTAGTCTTACTTGTAGCGCTTCAAGATGTGAAAGAAATTGGAGTACATTTGAGTCGGTAATATTTTTTTTTTTTTAATAAACTACTTAAAAGATTTTTATTTCTTTTCTTATGTATTAAATGTTTTTCTTTTCCTTTTTCTTAGATACATACGAAGAAGAGGAATAGACTTGAACGTTTAAGATTGAATGCTTTGGTCTTTATGAAGCAAAACTATAGATTAAGGGAGAGAAGTATTAGAAGGAGAGACAAGATGGATAAATTGATTTGGATGATGAGTCGATAACAGAGTTAGAAGATCTCGCCCTCCCGAATAATACTACTTGCCTTGTTGATCATGAGTTGTTTGAAGGGGATCCTATTGTTAGTATGCCATCGAGAATCTTTGATAGCCTATTGGATTCAGATAAGCGAGTCGAAATTGATGTTAATAATGAAGATCAAAATCATTCTCCAATTATGAACAAGAAAAGAGTCTCGGTGATAGCTCAAGTAAGTATGCCCCCTTTTTTTTTTAAAAAAAATGTTAAGTTCTTAAATTATATTTGTATGTAATTGGATGAGACCGATTATTTTTAGATTTTGAGTCTTTACTTTGAAGATTATGACTTTGGGTTGTTTGTTTGAACTAATATTTGAATGTTGTTTTTCATATTTAATGTCCAAGTTTATGATTTAAGACTTTCAATTATTTATTTACTTGTATGGTTATATATATTGTTATTTTTGGCATTAAAAGTGAACTGTTCGAATAGCTTACGCAATGCACTACGCTATTTACGCTACGCAATATAAGGATCAAAACGCGACACGATGCGCGTTTTAAAACACTGCTTTTGACCAATTTGGTGTCTTAGTAATTATAACATGTCAAAATGCACCTTGATTTCTCTTGTTCACTTGATGTTTGTTTGTGCTTGCATTATTGTTACCTGCACTTTAGGTAGTTTATACCGACGGTGTTGAAGAAATGATGAACCTTAGAAAGCATGGGGAACCAGCCGAAGATGTTCCTCAAGATCAAGTAAGAAATATACATGCTTCATCTTCTTCCTCATCATTTTTCCCCTCTTTTGAGAAGTTTGTGTTTTTATTATATCTACTGCAGGTCCCAAAATCAAATGACCAAGCTCGTGACTCGTCTTTTGTGTAAGTGCTTTCATATTGTTTGGTTGCCACCAATTTGGCCTTCAGATAATGTAGCAAATATCCATTTCTAAAGAGTAATATAACCTGAACCCTTATAATATTTTTTTACCTGGTCTAGGTGCATAAAGGTTTTTTCTTTCTAAAATGTAAATTCAAGTAATTCGAAACAGTAGTAATCTTTATTATGGTAATAAATATACTGGGACTTCATATATGTGTAGTTATATTCAACCTCAAATGTAGCTGATGTTAGAAAAAGTATGAGCACTGCAATTCTTCATTTTAGACGATTGCAGTACTAGAATTCTATGTATTTCCATTCTTTTTCGTAGGAGCTGTTATGTGGCTCAATGATCTGATTTGTATTGGGATGAATATAACCAATGGAAAATTGAAAGAGGGTATAGATCATGTGTGCATGGCTTGAAGGCATATATTTTCTAAATCCTCATGCCTGGTATAACGACACCTCTGGCGGACGCATATATGCAGGTATGCTGATGAAGACAAAAGTGCCCGTCCGCATGTAGTGAAAAAACATAAGGTTAGCATGTTCTTAAAACTTTAACTTTTTCTGCTTGAGGATGGCTGGCTGTTTTCTATGACACATCAAAATTAAGAATCTTCTATCCTATTTTGGGATCAAACTGAATTTCTCATATTAGAAGAATCTTAAAAGTTACAACTGGTTTCAGTAAGATATAGTTGCAACGCCTATGCAATCTTAAGCCTGTATTGACCTTAAAACTTCACTTCTAAACCTACTCAGTTCTATAAATGAATTCCTGATGTGGTCATTTAAGGACTCTAAACCTTTTCTTTCAGGGTCAATCTTTTGAACATCCGACTCCTTCCGCAAATCCAGTACCGTAAGTACACAACCTACGCGTGAATTTATACTTCAAAACAATTGGGAAAAACCGAGCCCTGAATTTAATCATGAAAATTCTTGGTCCAATTAATTTCCTACAGGTCTACTGATCTTCGAAAGCCGAAAACAGAGATTGATAGTTCACCAAGTGATTCAAAAATATCAGTGGACTCGAGCCACGACAATCTGGTCAGTTTCAATGGCTACAAAGTCAAATCCAATTCTGCACCAATTCTCGAGGCCGTATTTGCAAAATACGGTGACATCATGTCTTGTTGCATCTACAAATCAACATCTGTCCGGGCCTCTCTGCTCGAGGTCATGTCCGACATCATTCAAAAACTGCATTACCATGATGTTGAGGCCATCTTGTCCGAACTCGAAGACATAGAAAATGTGGTTTCGGATTTGGAGGCCAGCAGGATCAATGTGACTTGGCTGAAAGACCATTTAGCAAAACTCCGTGAAATCATGGGCTTTAATAAGAAATCCCTCCAGCTCAAGAAAACAAAGGAGAAGATAGGACTCGTGACTAAGGCAGCCGCTGAGGAGTTGAAAAGAAGGCATGTAGAGCTTGTCCTTGCAAAAGAACGGTTTAAGGAGGCTGAGAATCGCGTGAGTGCCATGCAGCTCGTGAGCAAGAAAATTGAAGATGATATGACGGAGTGCGAGTCGGAAGAGTATTTTTGGAAAAGGCGATTGGATGATCTTGTTAATTAGTATAGTGATAATTGTATTGATTGCGTAATGTTTGTTGTGATACTGTATTCACAAATCACAAGTGTACAAGACCCTCTGTTCACAAGATATGTGGAATGAAAAATGTGCATGCCTGCGATTGTTTTAATGAGTTTGTTAATTATTTAGTAAATGAAAATGTTACTGAGTGTTTTATAAAAGTAATTGAAATGTGAGTTGCTTGCGTTATGACAAAGCGTGATTTTTAATAATTACCTCAAGGACTCGAACGAGCCCTTTCTGTTGGGCTTGCATGACTGGTCACAAGGTGCTCTACTGGTGAACCTCATCTTGGGGTTTGACAATCGAGTGGGAGCCGATTAGGGGTGGTTTGAAGAAGGAAGAAAAGGAAAATGGAAAAATAAGAGAATGATTTTTTCTATTCAAATACATGGCATGGTTTACATAGACATTGAATCAGCAGTTTTGTCATTTGCACGTATGCTTTTCCGGTGACTTAAAACTTTTTGGCGGATTTAAGACCCTAGCAAGTTAGCAACATTGTTTTTATTCATATGTGGAAGGTTTTAAGAGTTAAGTACCTCGGCAGTGGGTTGGGCCCTAGCGCCTAGGGTGCTTAGGTTGGAATTAGATTTTATTTGGCAGGGGGTCACGTAGGATGTCGGATGACAAAGGCAAGGCCGAATGCGCCGGGGAAGAGGTGATGAGGTCTGGTCCACTAGCTTCTGCCGAGCTTCAAGCTCGGAAACTTTCTTCCTCAAGGTAAGTTACTTCCTTAGGCGGTAGAAAACCGAGAGGGAAGTAGACCTAGTTCTTCCTCAAGGTAAGTTACTTCCTTAGCGTCATATCGATTTTTGAGGATTTTCTGCCTGAGGTCTTGTTCGGTCTTCTTCTTCCTTAGGCGGTAAAAAACCGAGAGGGAAGTAGACCTAGTTCGGAGACTAGTATCCGACCTACTCTCGCTGGTCTCCTCCCTCTTGGTCAACGGTCTTGTCTCTCTAGTTTTTAGTGTGGTTATCTCGCGATTGTGAAGCGTTATTTGGTTGGACAGGTTCCTTTCCTTTGTTCAACACGGTGTTAAAGCCTTTTTTTTTTGCTGGAGTCTTCGATGTGTGTGACGTTGTCGGCAAGATTTGTGGTAATAGGTTGGAAAAACCTTTTATAATGTCCTGGTTTTGGAATAAAGTTGTGAAGTCTGTGGCTGGCGCTCCTCCACGAATTTGTTCAGTTGCGAATGTTTCATATTGATCTTCTTCTTGGTTAGATGACAACATTCTGAGTGGTGTTTAAGTAAAAGATTACCTCAAGCAATGTGAAGCCTCCTTTTAGCGTCAAACTGTTGCCCTTTATTTTCGGACAATGAATACAAACGATTTATTGATTTTGAAGTGTAACTAGAGTAAAACAAAACACTTCAAAACAAGGTAAAATAGACAAAATGAGAGCTTGGATTCGCAACTCAGGTCGGGTGCATAACCCTTTAAATGATATATTTATTGAGAGAGAATGTTTGTCTCTTCTATGTCGGTTTTTCATCCCTTTTTTTCGGAGTACCAAGTGTATTTATAGTAGTACACACCTAGGGGCAGTACAATCTTTGTCATTAATATATGTGATATGCGCATTGAATGTGACACGAGACCTTGTGAAGCTACATGGTATGGACTCCCTATGAAGCTATGGGGCAGTACCCACACCTTGCTAGGTGTGCCAGGGAAATTATGCATGCGCCTAATCACTCTCAAAAACCAAAAAAAATGAGAGAGTGTAGTACATATGTCACTTTCTTTTTTTTTTTTTAATTGAAAATGAGACATATTAATTATATTAAAATATCATTAATGATTTATATTAAAATAAAAAAATAAATATACCAAAATTCATAAATTTTCATTGTCTATAAATAGAGACCACATTTGATAGGTTTTTTTTAACATAATTAATTTTTTTTCGTAATCAATTTATTATACTGACATAGGATGAACATGTTACATAATAAGATGAATATGTTATCAAATAAGATGAACATGTTACGGACATGTTCATCTTATGTTATAACATGTTCATCTCATTTTGTAACATATTCATCTTATTTTATAACATGTTCATCTTATTGTGTAAATATGTAACATGTTCATCTTATTCTATAACATGTTCATCTTATTCTATAACATGTTCATCTTACTATGTAACATGTTCATCTTACTAAGTAACATGTTCATCTCATTTTGTAACATGTTCATCTTATTGTGTAAATATGTAACATGTTCATCTTATTCTATAACATGTTCATCTTACTATGTAGCATGTTCATCTTACTATGTAACATGTTCATCTTATTCGATAACATCTTACTATGTAATATGTTCATCTTATTCTATAACATGTTCATCTTACTAAGTAATATGTTCATCTTATTATGGATCTGCGTCTTCATCTTCCAATAAAATAAATTAATTGTGAAAAGTGATAAATTAATTGTGAAAAGTGATAAATTAATTGTATTCTAAACTTATCAAATGTGGTCTCTATTTGTAGAGAATAAAAAATTATGAATTTTGGTATTTATAATTTTATTTTTTAATATAAAATATGAATGATAATTTAATTTATGTAATATGATATATAAAATTCATTATCCAATAGAAATGGGACACTTGTCCGATTTAAAATAAAAAAACTTACCTCACACACTTTTATGAGGCAGTGTCTATTTTACAAAGGTCTTGGCACAAGGCACACCTTATTATTTGCGGCTATGGGGTATAAGAATCTGACAGGCTATCCCAGCTGAGCGGCATAAACTCATCGAACAAGGTTACCTACTGTAGTTTTCTGCACTACATCATAATCAAATTTCAATTTTTCGATTGTTCATTCTAAGTATGTTTATTCAGGTAAGGTTCTCAAGGATAAGCTTGTTACTCTTGAAGAGTACCTACTCAAACTGACAGATGAACTCCAGCAGGAAGCACAGTCTGTGCCAAATATGACTCATCCAAATGCTCCTGTTGGTGGGGAAGACTGTTCTTCTGTGAGAAAGCAGGTAAATAATTCGCTTGGACTGATATGTAGCAGACATAAAGGTGCTCTTGCTCTGGGTGTCTCTTTTTGTTTGTTGGTTTGTTTGTTACATTTTATTTAATTTTTCTATCTGTTTTTTCCTGTGCTTTGTAGTTTGGCAAATCCAGAGAGTTTAGCTTCTTGATAAGGGATCATGTCCAGCTTGGAAAGGACTTAGATCTGTTCGATTTTGATGCTGCTGCTGAGGTAATTGTTCTTTCCACTAGAGGTCTAGTATTTCTGGGTCTTAAAATTATCTTTCCCCAAAGGCCAAATAGAATAGAGCAAATTAAGATAACTTAGCCTGGCAATTAATTGTTTAATAACTCCTTGATTATTATTATTATTTCTTTTTTTTTTTTATCGGTAATCAGTTTCCTTTACGTGTATTAATTTATCTGTGCTACATCTTATTACAGATAAGCGGGTCGAAATTCTATTACCTGAAGAATGAAGCAGTGATGTTAGAGCTGGCACTTGTAAACTGGGCTGTGGCGGAGGTAATGAAAAGGGGCTTTGTACCGCTTACCACGCCAGAAATCGTGCGATCTTCCGTGGTGGAAAAATGTGGTTTTCAACCACGTGGAACTAACACTCAGGTTTGTTTTCTCGCTAACTTATTAATCTTCAACAGTTACTCTGCTTCTTTTTGTGCCTCTCAGTTTCACATATATACTTTGAAGACCTTTTTGTTAATGATGACCTACTAAAAAAACTAATTTTATAAAAATTCTCTCATGAGAAAAGTTTGTTTTCAACGTTTGGAATGTATAATGGTCCTGAACAGCTTTTCTATGTGTAACATATTATTCATTGAAGTAGAGGTCCAGGTACAACGATTGTCCTAGCAATTCATTAGCAACTCAATTTTTAACTCTAGTTTTACTCTATGTTATTCGAACAATATTTGCTCATCTAATAACAAATAGGTTTGCGTAACTTGAACAACTTATATGTAAAACCAGTTTTTCTTCATATATGCTACTAAGGCCGCTTCCTGTATCTGTTGTGTGATTTTGGGTTATTACCCATTGAATCTTCAATGAAATGTCTGATATCCTGAAACTTCTTAATTCACTTCCACCATTTTAATGTATGCAAATTATGTATTATTTCTGGCTCTTCCAATCTGTTAGCTATGTGATCCATGATAAGTGACGAAGGCTGGCATGAACCAAGTGATTTCCTTTTCGGTAATAGATGCTGTTATGACAGGTATATTCAATTGATGGTAGTGATCAATGCCTCATTGGTACAGCCGAGATTCCAGTTGGGGGAATACATATGGACTCCATTATTGCTGATTCATCATTGCCCTTAAAGTATGTAGCCTTTTCCCATTGCTTCAGAACAGAAGCTGGTGCAGCTGGCGCTGCAACTAGGTAAAGCTTTTAACTTGTTGAAAAGTCAATAATGATTTTTCTAAATGATGATGTTTTTTATGTTTGGCTTCCTGCAATTGTTGTTCACTGTCTTTCTAATCCATATTAATGTTTCTCTACTTTTCAACTGCCCCTTGGGGTATACCGTCATCCTTTTCTTTGATGTACCGATTAGTTTGGCGTAAACTGGGAGCTGCAGGGGCCTTTATCGAGTTCACCAATTTAGCAAGGTGGAGATGTTCATCTTATGTAGACCAGAGGAAAGTGATTCCTTCCATGAAGAGCTTATTCAAATCGAAGAAGACCTGTTCTCGTCGTTGGGGCTTCATTTTAAGTGTGTATTCCGCCTCTCTTTATCAGTTTGACTGATTTTTTTCCCTTTTCTAGAAATAAAAAGAATCAAAATGTTTTAGATTCTTATGTTGCTTCTTTGCAGAACCATGGACATGGCAACAGAGGATTTAGGTGCACCAGCTTATCGTAAATTTGACGTTGAGGCATGGATGCCTGGTTTGGGAAGATATGGTGAGGTATGCTACTAGTTGTCTGGCTGCTGTCCATGACATATTAATCGCTTGCCAGTTGTCTGTTGTCGATCTAAAACTCTCTTTGTGGTTTGGGTGTGCCTTAATCCACATTCATACAACCTGACTTTTGTAAATTACGAAATCACTTATGTGGTTCCTTCATAATTACATATACCAAAATACCTTCCTGAAGTTTGTTTATATTTTACAAGTACCCCCTGCGAAGTTGATTTTTGTCAATGAGCATCCGTGTTCACGGGTGATTTTGTTAGAAAAAGAGAGCAAATATCAAAGATAATATAATAGTTTAAAACAAAGTTTGGGTGTGATTGTGTTAGGTGCGATACATCCTTAGTATAAATTTTATATAGTAAGATATTCTAGGAACAATACATGCAGTCAACCCTGCTGATTAGAGAATTATGTTGTTTTGTCAACACAGATCTCGAGTGCCTCTAATTGTACCGACTACCAAAGCCGACGGCTAGGAATTCGATACCGTCCCGAATCATCAAATTCAAATGCTCCTAAAAAGGGTAAAGGCAGTTCTGCCCCTACGCAGTTTATCCACACACTAAATGCAACAGCATGTGCAATTCCAAGAATGATCATATGCTTGCTTGAGAATTACCAGCAAGAGAATGGTTCCGTTGTTATACCAGAGCCATTGAGGCCATTCATGGGTGGCATTGGGATTATTGCTCCTAAATATAAGTAGGTGCTCTAGAATTTTTGGTTGGTGACTCGGTGTAATCTTTGATTTTCATTATAGTTCAATTTTTTGTGACATGTGACTTCGAGTTGAGGTTATCTTTGGGATACAATTGGCTGCTCGTGGCCGTACATAAGACCCACCCAGTCTCATGCGATACATTTTAGTTAAATAGTAAGGCTGTTGTTAGATAGATCAATAGGTAGGCATACTTTCATACAAAAGCGATACTTAAAATAACAATATAAATAAAAATGTCATTTTTAAGTGTGCACTAACGAATCTAATGAGTAAATGGTGGAATCGAACAAGTCTACATTTTTTCATAAGGGAATTGTTACCTTGCCCTAAAAGGTAGGAAGGGAGACATTGAGAACGACTAAAGAGCCTGGGGAGGGCACTTCGATTGAAGTATCGACTGCGACCCTGCATTGAATCCAGGGTCTCAACCGGTGGAGACTTCTGAGATGGAGAGTGATGGGCCTGTCGCTAATGTTCATTCCGGATTGTCGCCTGAGTTTATCCAGGTGGGAGCGGGGCTCAACCCATCCAAGCATCACGCCAACGTCATTGACGACGTCCCAACCCGGTCATCCGCTGTTAGTGAGCCCCGACCAGGTCCTTTGGTTGCAGCGGCTAATGAGGATGTCTTAATGGAGGGTATCCCTGGTGGTGCAATCCGAGAACCGTGGCCGGGGGAGATCTTGGCGCAATGGTGTCAGAGCGACGACCCGACAACTGGGAGTCAGCCATGCCGTGATGGACTCTTCGGTCCAACTTTGATCCTGTTACTAATCGCTCCTCCCCATTGCTATTTTTTACTTATGAATATATTTACGTGAAATGTTCAAGGTGCACGCTCGCCTACTTTCAAGGGAGTTTTTGCAACCTTAATGCACCAATTTCGCCCAGATGTTGTAGCACTCTTTGAACCACGAATAAGTTGGAAGAAGGCTGAAAAATTTGTACGATTCAGTAAGTTTGAGAATCCTTTCCGGGTTGAAGCCCGTGGCTTCTTCGGTGGCATCTGGCTTTTGTGGACAGAAGACGTGCAGGTTGATGTCCTGTTCTGTACCAGGCAACTGGCACACGTTCGGGTGACAAAGGATGACGAGGCGTGCATAGTCTCCTTTATTTATGTTAGCCCTAGCGCGACAATTCGTAAGCAGTTATGGGCCAATTTGGGGAGCTTAGGGGGCGATTGGATATAGTTTTAATTGTAAAAAAACCAATCAAAACTCAAATTTAACTCAACTTTAACCCAACTCTATTATTTCCAATATTATCAATATAATTAAATGTATCAACCAATCATTCTTACACATCACATCAACTTTAATTCACTATTCATCCACTCACATAATTTTAGCTAACCATCACTTCCAATCATTTTTCTCCTACTTTACATCAAATCAACTTTAATTATTTTATTTAAATATTATTTTAATATATTCACTAACAACAACTATAACACCTTTTTTCAAAATTAACTATAGTTAAAAAACAAACCAAATAAAAACTAGTTGAATATATAAACAATCACCCTGGAACCTTGGCTGATTGGGGGTGATTTTAACTGTCTAATTCGACGCTCTGAAAAATTGGGGGTGTCTCACATTTCTGCAACATCAGCCGTGATTTCTTAGATTGGATTTTCAACAACGGCCTCCAGAAGGTGGATACGGATGCCCATTTATACACTTGGTTCCGTGACGGACCGAATGGCTGGATTGCCGAGAAGCTTGACTGGTTTATTGCCAATGTGGACTGGATGGAGAAGTATGGTTTTGGGCAGGTCCGCCAACTTCCTCGGGCTCGTTCTGATCACTCACCCCTGTTAGTCGACTTTGGCTAGCAACGCCACCAGTCACAAGGGTTGAAATCGTTCAGATTCTTTGCTTTGTGGTTGCTTCATCCGGGATTCGGGGATATGCTAAAGGATGAGTAGCAGCCCTCCGAGTGCTATGTTGAGGTGGCGGCGAATTTTGTGACAGCTGCGAGGAGCTGGAACTCTAGAAAAAAACCTCACAAGTCACAAGTAGGGGTGTTCATCGGTCGGTTTGGTCGGAAGTACAAAAACCGAATTAACTGAATTGTTATATGTTGAAAACCGAAGCGACCGACCGATGCGCTTAAAACCGAAGTATAACCGAACTGAATTATTCGATCGGTTCGGTCGGTTAACTGAAGTATAACCGACCGATGCGCTTAATCAGTCGGTTCAGTTATTTTGGACATTTGAAGTCCGAAAACCGAAACCGATCGAAATAACCAAACAATTAGGGGTTGAAAACCGAAAACCAACCGAGTCGATTCGGTTTCGATCTATTTGTTCAGTTTTAACTTTTAATCGAATTATGCACGCTACAAGGAGCGGAAACGAGAAATTAATACAGTAAAACCCGTAAATTGCGATACAACGGATAAACCCCACAAGTTGGCAGTAATCGATGGAGTGAAGCAAAATCGGAGTGGGGCTTGGAAGTTGGGGGCTCTGCATGCAGGACATTAGGCAAATGATCCCTCCCTCGATTCTCAGTTTATATCATCATCGTTTGGCTGTATTTTAGCCCGCTCATCTTTTGTTTTCCGTTTTTCTGCATTTGTGAAAATTGAAGTGTATTGTCGTCAGAGTTTTTGTGGGGTGATGGGATTTTCATTTTCTTTCCTTTCCTACTTTTCGCGATAGTGGATTTTGGGTTCACCACTTTCCTTAATCTCTTCTCTTTCTCCTGTATTTGGTTGTAATAGGTGAATTATAGAAATGGGTTCTGCTAGTCCTGAATCTTCACAGAAAGCGATTGAGGGTGACTTGGTTGAGACTGGGGAAAAGCTTCTTGCAACTCCCTTATCAACTAATGAGCTACTTGTACTCCTCGAGGTATATGCCCTTTCACATTTGGGACTCACATTGACATGATTGTGTGTGTGTGTTTGTGGTTGTGTGTGTGTGTGTGATTGATTCTGTCTGTCATGTATGTGTATATATGATAAAACTCTTGCTTTATATAGATTGACAACAGAACATTTGTTGCTGAATGTGAGAAGGAACTTACATTTTATGCCTACGCAGTGAAACTAAACGTGGAACGGCCAATATATTCTGTCATATCTCAGTTGGTATTATTCACATATGTAGAGATTCTTGTTCTGTTATTTAGTTTTTGTGTATGTAAGTTCCTGGCATATTTAAATGATAATGAGTGTTAGATGTGGGAAGTGGCTATTTATGTTCGTAATGATTCCATTTTGTATAAATTCATCCCCTACTCATGTTACATTCTTGTGGCAAGTGTTTCCTATTGTAGAGAACCTATGCATGCACAAAGATTGATCTAGTTTACACTACCAGTGTTTACATTTGCAAATTCTCATGTGTATTTATATTTGCTGGAATGGTCCCCCAGCTTAAAGAATAACAATACCTTCAAAAACGTCTTCTTGTTTCACTTTTGTTGTAGCAATGGTGTGTCTTGGGGTGGGTTATTATTCGTAGAATGAGGAACACGGAAAACTTATGCTTCCCTGTGTTTTTCTGTGTTTGTGATGATCCACTTGCACCAGTTCTGTTGTATTCAACTGCAAACCTGCATACAGTGTCGTGATTTATGATGTAATAAATTCCACTTCTTTGCTTCTTAGGCATTTTGACAGCTCATTGTTTCAGTAAGATAGAAAAAATGTATCACAGATTTCATTACATCTCCTCCTTGACCTTACTATGGTTGTTATTCTTGTTTTTTCCCGAATTCTCTTTTTTCTCTAACCTATATGTTTTCTATTTGGTACATATAATTAGTCTTATGTTTGTTCATTCAGAAAGCAGAAGACCTTTTAGCTAAGGTTTGGCAACGGCCTCCTGTGTCTACATGTTATGCACTTCTTCCCGCAATGAAGGCTCTTATAACTGATGATATATTGCACCCCAATGATTTGAAAGTCCAACTTGTGGTTGCATCTTGTTTTAATGAGCTAACTAGAATAACTTGTCCAGATCCCCCTTATGGTGATGATGTCATGATGGTATGCAGATACTTATTCACTTCAATTTCTATTGAAAATTAGATAACTTCTCCAATTCCATCATTCTTAACTTCTCAGTTCTGTCACGTGTGCTTACCTATATAGTTTTGTGTATGGTGGTGGCAGGGGATTTTCCAATTATTCATGATTGCATTTGGGCAATTATCCTGCAAGCCTGGTCAAAATTATTCCAGGGCTGTTAAGATTGTCGAGACTATGGCAAAAGTAAGATCATTCTTGATGCTTCTGGACATAGATACCGATGGGCATTTTGTGGTCGAGATGTTCCAGCTTTTTTTAAGTAATATAAGGTAAGTATGCGAGGGGCGGGTTCTTATTTTAGTCCTTTTTCTGCTTATGTAGAGGCTGAATTGTGAAAATATCCAAGTGTAGCTGGGTTGTACCCAAGATTTGATCTTGAGTGCAATATCAATTTTCTTTTGTTAATCTGTATTAATAATATTTAAATTGTGTTGAAGGTCCAATCACCTTTCTGATGTCTTCAAATACATGGAAATGATCATGACCTCTGTCATACAAGAAAGCGATGAAATTTCATCTGAACTTCTAAGGCCCCTTTTGTCGAGTGTGAAAACGGAGAATAAGGTTATACGATACCCTTCTTGATCTTTTCTACTATTGTACGATTCTGAGAACATTCTTGTTCTTTATGCTGATTTTATTACTAATATCCTCGTTGCAGAACTCTTCACCTATTTCATGGGAGTTGGGGAAGAAAGTCTTTGAAAATTGCGCGACCAAGCTCCCGAGTTACCTGAGGGAAGCTGTGAAGGAAATGAATCTGGATCTTTCCGACTATGCTGTGATAGTCTCTTCTATATGTCATTTTATGAGCCATGATTCGTCCAATGGGAAGAACATGGTTTGTTCTTTAGTTCTTTTACATGTAATATCTGAAATTTTAAGCTGTGTTGTGTCATGTTCCTTTCTGCTGATGCTAGTCGCATGCCTTGATCCCGTTCTATTTAGTTTGTTAGACAATCAATGATTGAGTTACCCCGAAGACAGATTTGGTATCTCATATAGTTCAAAGTTAATGAACTTTGTTGGTAGCATGTCAACTTTAACGTTAATGGTTTTCCTTTTCAGAGTAAAAGCTATTTAGTGAAACAGACTATGCCTGGAAGTTTTTTTTTTTAAAACAGAAAAATAGGTAAATGTAGAGAAGTATAGATCACAAGCCAATCAACTAACTTTACTTAGAACTAGAAATGACTATCCAAGCATATGTTATTTTGCAGTGTGTTAATTTATGTCTATTCAGATATCACAGCAGCCAATATAATAGTTTTTTTGCGATATTGTGTTGTGTCAATTAGGTCCCATGCAAAGTTTCACAGATCGTTGGTAACCATGAGTCCCAGTTAGATGGACTTTCTGAGGATGAAGACAAATTCTGTGATGCTGAAGCCAATGATGGCCATGAAACAAAACCGAATGATGAAAATTCATTAGGAACCCCAAAAAACCGTAAGCTGCTTGCCAAATCTGGGCCAGACTCAGGTTCTCTTCGGAGTAGAAGGGGAAGAAAACCTAATACTGTGGTAAGACCTGAGGAGGGGTACAAACATGATTGGTCGAGAGGAGGAAATTATTCTGACGAATCATTTGAAAATTATTTTGATGACAAAGATGATTCAGATTTGATGCCAGAAAAGGGAAATGCAAGCATATTTAGCAATTCGTCAAGGAAAAAAAATAATGATTCTGTCCATGAAGGGAGTCTCAGCGAAAGGAGTCAGTTGAAAAAGGAAAGAACGGTAAACCTACCCAATAATTCGAAGTTGTCGTCAACTGTTAAAAAGAAGAGCCTGCAAACTATTGAGAAGGATAATAAGGCTATTGGTGAATCGAGTAACGTTAAGGCGAAATTGGAAAAAAGGATCCTCGGCAATACCCGTGTTGGAGGGGAACATGAGTTGTTACCTCATGAGAAGAAAGAGAAGAAGAAAATTCTTTCCCAGAAAAATGCTCATAAAAATGTAGGCAAGGTAATCAAGCTGTAATCTTTGTTAATACCGATGTCTTCTGTTGTTAGTTATGCGATTTTAGTCCTATGGAAGCCTGTGAAAGCGAAGTCCCTGAGGAAAGACAAGGATATGGGATCATTTTAACATAGCTGTGCTGTAAAATTAAATATCCTGCACTAAAATTTTCTTGGAAATTTATGATTCCAATGCAGAAGTCTAAAAGACCCCAAGTCGCTGATGGGGAGGAATTAGTTAATAGAAGGATACAGGTCTGGTGGCCAATGGATGAAACGTGAGTAGTACTCGTTGAAATTATCTCATTCTCGCAGTTTGTTTGTGATCACATCATCATATGATACATTTAATTTCTTGTGTTGCACTAGCATGACTGTGAATTGACCTAAATCATGTTCCATGTTTTATGTGAGTGTAGCATTTAATTTTCAGACAATTCCCCAGGAATCCCACTGCTACTCCCCACCTCCTGAAAAAAAAAAAAATATAAACAAATTGTCGCTCTCCTCCTTTCTCTCTTTCCGAGAGGTTCCCTGTTGGGCCTTTTGTTTTGATGGTGTTGAGAGTGCTTCCTGATTTGGCATATTTTTTTACTGCACGAAGCTTGGCTATACGGATTGGGTGTCGTGAAATGCTTGAGTAACCTTTCTTGCATTTACTCTATATATTAGCCTCTCTTAAATTAGTAACTATGATTTCGTTAAATGTACCCTTAAATGTTTTTATCAAGAAATCCAACTACCTATGCATGCCAACTTTAAGGCTTACCCTCTCTCAGATGCACACTTTATCTAGGTTCTCTTTGGGTAATTGCTCATTAAGTTGTCGTGTTTTTTCTTGCCATCATTTTGCCCCTGCAGAATGGCAAAACTTCTTCTCATATTCGAGAGTCTGCATTGCAGGTTTTATCCGGGGACTGTTACAGCTTTTGATCAAGACACAAATAAGCACACGGTTATAAGATACTTTTTTCTCTTCTTCTCCTCTTTTTGCTTCCATGTACTTAAGCTATCATCTGCATATGGCTTGAGTAATTTTTTCTTTTTTAATGAAATTAAAATATGACTTTTTTTTTTTTTTTCTTGAGCTTCTTAATTAGGCCACTCCTTCAATTTCCAATCTGTTAATCAACTCGAGAGATGATATCATCTCCGTATAATTACTCTGAACATGCATTTGCCATGGAAACTTTCTCTGGGTCATTGCAGAGATTTTACTCTAATTAATTACTTGTCTATTTTCATGCAGATTTTATATGATGATAATGAAACTGAAATCTTGAACCTGAGAAAAGAAACATGGGGACTGTGTTCGGGCGAGCAGCCTGCATTAGTAAGATCCTTTCAGTTATTTTTGGTCTTTAGGCTTCCCATTGCAGTTACGCAATCAGTTCATTCTAATTATTTTTCTGATGTAACCTTCATGTGCAAATTTAATTTTTTGACAGCCCTCACAGATAGAAGAAGCTGATCTCCGGTCACATGTTCAACAATCAGTCAAGTAAGTTTTAGTTTCAAAGTTGCAAATTTTTTACAGTTGATGTTTCTCTTCTATCATTTTTGTACCATTTTATTACCCTTGGTTGTTTTTATTATGAAACAAGCTCCTGCTCCTGAAAGTAAATTCCTTTTTAATTGAAGTTTGAAAGTGATTCTTGCATATGTGAAAAGATTGAAAAATCATGAGACTTCCTCCAGTCTTGTTGGTTGATTTTTTGATGTAAAAATAAAATAAAATCGAGGGTTGCATCTTCTCCTGCTTTAGGACATTCATAGCTGTATACTTTAGTTCAAAGCTCAAAACTAACACTATATCTTGGTTCAAATCGCTGGCATACTTCAGGACTTCTTGAATATTTCTTCATCCACTATAATCAACTGTGTCAAAAGTTTGCCTGTTTTGATTGAAGTTTTTTTAATCTGTGAGTAATGTTCAGTGTTTTTAACAAAACTCGATCAGGATACTGAAAAAGGCTTCAAAGCGGAGAGCAGTACTCTCATCTAAACCACAACATGCTGTCTCAATGCCTAAAAGGTTGGTTTTCCTTTTTTTGAGATTCTGAAATATTCTTCTGAGACTTCAACCGTTTGTCACATATTTTCACTATTTAGTCCTGAGCTATTTTTTACTGCTGTCAGATTAAAAGGTGAAAACCGTAGTGCAATTAATCACATGGAAAATTCCGAACCCAACAATGCTCTTTTGAATGATGAATCGGATAATGAGGCAAGTTTTGGACCAAAGGATGGTGGATATGGTCATCAAGGGTTGGAACATTTTCCAAGAACATGAAAATCCGCCTCATGCCGGAAGATGTGACAAAGGTTTTAAGAATGGAATTGTTTTGTTGTGGATTTCATACATTTAACGAACAAACTATTGCATGACAGCTAGAGAGGAGCAATGATCCTTGGGGAAAATATCCGTATAACTTACTATGTCGTATTTTGTTTTATGGGATCAGATCTCAAAACACTTGAGTATGTGGATGTATTTTTCTCTTTGTTTATTCCCTTAGCTTAATATATTAGAGCCAATGATTTTTTTTTTTTTTTTTTTTTTANTTTTTTTTTTTTTTTTTTTTTTAAAGTGCTTGTAGCATGCATGTGTATGGTTTTGGGTAGGCAAAGGCAAAATGGGGTATTTTTCCTTGTCGTATTTAGAAATTAGAGGGTTTCATCCTTTCAGTAAATTGTTGCTCATGGTGATAGTTCAGCTTCAGATGTGTGACCTGTTTTGTGCTGTGTAGCTGTGCTTTTATGATACATGACCAAGAGAACAGAAATTATGATTTCTTAATTCTTGTGAAGATTATATAAGTCCATAGCAAGGTAAATTTCATGTTCTATATTTTTTTAGTTTGATTGTATTTAGTCGAATGGAATATTATTCACATGTATTTGGTATAGGTTGACCAGAACTTATCTATATATATATAATTACTAGTTCAAAACATTTAATAAAACCTATTTAATTTTACCTATGTGGCAATTTAACAATTTTCCCTCCAAAAACCGTTACATTTTGATGTATTTAATATTTCATTCAATCATTAAATAATTAATACTCATCACTTCAAAATTACAAAAATTATTTTAAACTTTTGATTAATGACAGTTGACCATATAATGTGTTGACCGTATAATGTGATTAGATGTTATTATTGTTGTTACATATAATGTGATTAGATGTTATAATTTGATTAATGACAGTTGACCATATAATGTGTTGACCGTATAATGTGATTAGATGTTATTATTGTTGTTACATTTAATTTATTTTTTTTGAAAATAAAAAATATATTTAAAATTCCTAAATAAATAATAAATAATTCACAAATAAAAGACGTACCAAAATATATATTACATCCAATCAGATAAACGCAATTTAAAAAAAAAATATTCCAACTCTTTTAATTGTAAATTTGGTCTGCAAAAAAGTGAAAGAAAAATAATTAATCATTATATGCATACGGACTCACAATAATTTATTTATAACTGTGCAAATGCACAGGTCGAATACTAGTGTTCCGTAATCCTGTGAGCTTCTATTTTAGCACTAGCACCTCCTTAAGGTAACCTATAAATACGCCAAGTGCCCCTCTTAAAATCAGCTGATATTTTCTCATTCTTAAGAATCAAGTCCAAAACGTATGGAAGAGAGAAAAAGAGAATTTGAGAGGTTTTGGGAAAGAGAGGGACAAAGAAAGTGTTTCCAAACACAAGATCTTCCTTCTTTCTTTTTGAAAACTGATCAAGTGAGATTTATGTAGGGGAAACTCTGAACCCGTCACCCACCAAGACAATTGGAGAGGTTTATAGAATATAGTAGAAGATCTTAAGGTCATACGATTAGACATGGCCAAAACACCGGCTCGGGATCATGGACCCGGAACCGACACAGACTTAGGTTCTACCGGGTCCATGGCCCGCCGGGCCGGGCCCGGGTCTGGGCTCGTCCAAATAAAAAAAATTAAAAACAAACAAAAGGCATGTGGTTTTCCCAGATCGGCCCAGACCTGGCCCAGCCCGCGGGTCGAAAAAACAAGGCCCTGGACCGGCTCGGTTAAAATCTGAGCTGGGCCCGGACCTGTGGTCATTGGGCTTGACTAGGCCGGGTGGCCCGTGGCCACCTCTACGTACAACGTGTTTGTTCGGTCCTGTAGACTGTGTAGTATTTTCTAGATTGGAATTTTTTAAACGATTTGATTTAATCTCAATTTTAGATCTGCGCTTAGCATTATTTTTGTAAATTTCGAAGATGCACATCGATCGACGTTCTTTATCGACCCCTACAGTTTCAAGGAGCTCGAGTGCGAGCATAGTACAAAGAAATGAATATAGAGCAGCATTTTGCGACTGTCGAAGGCCAATGGCAGGTCGATGTCGCTAACAAAACTATTTTGCAAGTACTAAAGAAAAGACTCGAGTGCGCATCCAATGAGTGAGTCAGTTAGCTTGATATTGTGATTTGGGCGTACCGAAGTACTCATCAGAGCTCAACAGGTGAATCGTCGTTTGGCATGGTCTATAGTCCCGTCGAATTGTAAAGTCCGGTTTGAAGCTTGTAGCAAGAGGAAGAAAACTAAACTCGTGGAGAAACATGAGTCGAGCAATACAAAAAAACGAGCAAGAATGAGGAGGCGACTTTGGATAATTTTATCCTTGAGGACAAAGATGTTTGTGAAGGGGAAGGGAATGATGCGAACAGGGCACCAGGGGCAAGCACACGAGGCGCAACAACACAACACGACGGAGTAGCACCGCCATCACACGCCTCACGGCGGCGTCGCGCTGAGAAGGCACTCACGAGCAGGGACGGATCCAGAAATTAAGAGTAGACTGGGCTATAATTTTAAAACTCATTTTTTCTTCTAATATTCGCTGAAGTTATGTTCGACGAGCTTCAACGAAAAAAAAAATTCATTATGCTCATTTTGCACCGTATTTGATGTGCTTTCACTAGTTTGACGTCGATCCCGTTTTCTAAAGAACAAATTATATTAATGGGTTTTTTCCTTTTTTGACCGAAGGTTGGTGCTCCATGTGAATTTCTAAAAAGTTCACAATAAAAATGAATAGATTTTTCATATAACATAGTTATTAGCAAAATAAAACGGCTAGACATCAAAAGTTTTTATCCAACTATGATATACAACAACCACACTAGAGGATAAGAGATTAAAAAAAACATACAAATACGCGCGCGCATACACACACACACAATTACTACTTCATACACAATCAACAAAACAACAATTGCAACTAAATGATCCTAGAAATTACTATTATAATCCTAAATAGCTCAACTAAAATAAAAAGATAGATAAATATAATCAGACAAATGAAACAAATATCTACTAGGGGGTTTAAAAATATAATTTAGTATTTAAGAAGAAATTAAATCGTCTTTTTGAAAATACTCTCTTTCTTGTGGAATAGTTTTTTTTTTCCTTCTAAATTCAATGTTATGGTGTGTTCAAGAGAAGGACATGGCCGTGACTAATTTATTAATTGACATTTGGTGTATATTAGTGTTTTGTGGATTAGTGTCTAGTGAAAAGGATGGATTACCAATATATAATATTTTATCAGAATTGTGTTGGCAGTCTTTGGACTTAATAGATAAGTGAATTATTTTGGTGAGTTAGTAGATTAGTTTATTGGACTGGGCTATAAATATATTTTTTTTTTCAAACTAATAGTAGTTAAACAAAAAAAAATAGGCCTGGGCTTCAGCCCAGCCCAGGCCTAATGTAGATCCGCCCATGCTCATGAGCCAACAGAGGTTATCACGGTTACAGGCTTCGTGCTGCGCAAGGCGTCGCGCCATGGCACTTTACAGGGCCTCACGTCGTTATTGCCTTCGCGAGGCGACTGAGGTTTTTTAGAGCCCAAGTCTTGCCCGTCGCGCCACGACAACGCGATGAACCTGGACATTTGAAGGGTTGACGACAATTTCATTCACTTTATTTTAAAAAATATTTCACTTTCTTAGGAGCAATGTAGTGTGATTTGCATTAGGTTTCTTACTTTATTTAGGCTATAACTTTCATTTGTTTTAATTATGAAATAAGAAATAAGCAAAAGGCTTGTTTCGAGCAAAAATTCTCGTGTTAACCGACGACCGTTTAGCTCGGGTTTTCAAAAAACCGAATACTCGATACACGATATGCTACAACGCCCGTGTGTTAGTTTGAAATTTCATGCTTGAAAAGTTAAAAAATCAATAGAAGCTTTTATTTAAATTTTTAAATATATTTTTAACAAAATTATTTTTTTAAATAACACTAAAACTTATTCGTCTTATTTTATACTCCCTCCTATTTTTATTATTTGTCAGTATAGCTTAATTGATCATTGATTAAATAAATGTTGTTTTGGCTATTTTGTTCATATTTTTTCATTTTTAACACTTCATCTAATACACTGTGTCTCTTCATATCTCATCTCCATTCCCATAACATCAATTAAATAGGATTAATATTGGCAAGAAAAAAAATCTTGATTGGTGTGTTGCTTCTCAAAACGACAAATAATAAAAATAAGAGGGAGTAATAATTTTTTAATTCATATCATAATAGATAAATTTAGTTAAAATTTTCATTATTTTTCAATTAGAATTATTATATTGTATAATTTAAATTTTTGTTTGTGAAGCTAGATATAATTATTTTTATATATGCAATATAAGTATCAACCGAAGATCGCCGGAAGATAATTAATTTAACATGTCATACATAAAAGCTCAATAATAAATAAAAAAGTTATTATATTTCAAAATATATTTTTAATTTAAGTTTATCGAGTATTTTATAAATTGATAAGTTCTAGGCATGAATAAATGTCCAAATCTAAATATACTACTTCGAAACACCAAAAATTCGATATTTTAGAACATGTTTGTTTATAAAAAATTTTGGTTTTATTTAGATTTTTTGATTTGGTTTGGTTAATTTTGAAAAGGGTGGTATGGTTAGTTGTTAGTGGGTATAATAAAATAATATGTAAAATAAAATAATTAAAATTGATTTGATGTAAAAGTAGGAAAGAGAGATTTGAAGTGATGGTTAATTAAAATAATGTGAGTGGATGAATAGTAAATTAAGGTTGATGTGGTGTGTATGAAAGATTGATTGATATTATTTAATTATATTGATAATTTTGACAATAGTGGGGTTGAGTTAAAAAAAATAGTTGAGTTAAAATGTGAGAAATTTTTGAAAAAATTCCATAAACAAACATGCTCTTAGCATATGATTAACAAGGATAAAAAATTGACGAGTAGTTTTGAGACCTACAGCTATATTATATTACATTTATAAATAGTAGGAGGATTATACTCGTTGGAAATGCTATGGAGCCAACCGTTGGCTCCGTGATGGAGCCAACTTGGCTCGTTAGTTTCATTCATCTTGTCTTGGAGTTATAAATAAATGTTGGATAGAATATAAAAAATAGTACATAAAAAGATATAATATTCAAATTGTAATGTATATTAACTATTTATTTTATATTAATAATTTTGTATGCCTCATAATCCAACTCCACCAACCCCAGCCAGAAAACGACCGTCATTACGTTTACCCTGTAACAAATCAAATCTCTCTCAATTTCAACTTTTGAAAACGTGCCCACCATTTTCCTCCAAATACAAATCTCTCTCAATTCCCATTTCCACTTTTGAAAACGTGGCCCCCATTTTTCTCCAAATTTAATCGTAGTAGGTAAAGAATAAAGCAATATATATACACTACACCACTTTGTCAACCTGTCACATATCGCAATCCATTTTCGTTTGCCACCATTTTCCTTGTCCCTTACTTTTTCTCCCAACTCTTAACACACAAACTCCATTTTCCGCCACCGAAATGCCGTCGCTTCCCGGAGAGCTCGTCTGCGTCACCGGCGCCGGAGGTTTCCTCGCCTCGTGGCTCGTCAAACTTCTCCTCGAGAGGGGCTACAGGGTCAGAGGCACCGTCCGAAATCCAGGTGAACATGGACATCCATTTTTTTTTTTTTCATTTTCTTCCGCGTAGTTTTTAATTTGGGGAAAAATCAAAGTAAATTTCCTCATAGTCTTGTGCATTTTTTTGGTGGTATTTATGTAGATGATCCGAAAAACTCTCATTTGAGAGAGCTCGACGGCGCCGCGGAGAGATTGACTCTGTGCAGGGCTGATCTTAACGATTACGAGAGTTTGCGGGAAGCCATTGACGGTTGCAATGGTGTTTTCCACACTGCCTCTCCAGTTACTGATGATCCAGTGAGTCCACATACTTTGTGATACAAATTCTTGTGTGGTTATACTTTTCT